CTAGTGTAAACCTGGTCTTTATGGTCACCTCATGACAAGCTAAGCAGTGCTGGGACCTAGTGTAACCCAGGTCCCTACTGTCACCTCATGACAAGCTAAGGAGTGCTGGGACCTAGTGTAACCCCGGTCCCTACTGTCACCTCATGACAAGCTAAGCAGTGCTGGGACCTAGTGTAACCCCAGTCCCTACTGTCACCTCATGATAAGCTAAGGAGTGCTGGGACCTAGTGTAACCCAGGTCCCTACTGTCGCCTCATGACAAGCTAAGGAGAGCTGGGACCTTGTGTAAACCCGTCCCTACTGTCACCTCATAACAAGCTAAGGAGTGTTAGGACCTGGTGTAACCCCGGTCCCTACTGTCACCTCATGACAAGCTAAGCAGTGCTGGGACCTAGTGTAACCCCAGTCCCTACTGTCACCTCATAACAAGCTAAGGAGAGCTGGGACCTAGTGTAACCCCGGTCCCTACTGTCACCTCATGACAAGCTAAGCAGTGCTGGGACCTAGTGTAACCCCGGTCCCTACTGTCACCTCATGACAAGCTAAGCAGTGCTGGGACCTAGTGTAACCCCGGTCCCTACTGTCACCTCATGACAAGCTAAGCAGTGCTAGGACCTAGTGTAACCCCGGTCCCTACTGTCACCTCATGACAAGCTAAGCAGTGCTAGGACCTAGTGTAACCCTGGTCCCTACTGTCACCTCATGACAAGCTAAGCAGTGCTAGGACCTAGTGTAACCCTGGTCCCTACTGTCACCTTATGACAAGCTAAGCAGTGCTAGGACCTAGTGTAACCCCGGTCCCTACTGTCACCTCATGACAAGCTAAGCAGTGCTAGGACCTAGTGTAACCCCGGTCCCTACTGTCACCTCATGACAAGCTAAGCAGTGCTAGGACCTAGTGTAACCCCGGTCCCTACTGTCACCTCATGACAAGGTAAGCAGTGCTAGGACCTAGTGTAAGCCCGGTCCCTACTGGGCCACTGACTTAGTCACAGGTTGGTCCAACACAGCATGTCCACCAGGCCAAGTCAGGCTGTCTGATAAGAGCTGGGACCTAGTGTAACCCCGGTCCCTACTGGGCCACTGCCTTAGTCACAGGTTGGTCCAACACAGCATGTCCACCAGGCCAAGTCAGGCTGTCTGATAAGAGCTGGGACCTAGTGTAACCCCGGTCCCTACTGGGCCACTGCCTTAGTCACAGGTTGGTCCAACACAGCATGTCCACCAGGCCAAGTCAGGCTGTCTGATAAGAGCTGGGACCTAGTGTAACCCCGGTCCCTACTGGGCCACTGACTTAGTCACAGGTTGGTCCAACACAGCATGTCCACCAGGCCAAGTCAGGCTGTCTGATAATAACCCTGCCCACTACACCCCACATCAAATACAAATAACATTCATCATGTTCAAATGGTGTAAATATATTTCTTGTGTACATTTTAACAGTAGTTTAAATCTTTATTTTTTTAAATAAAAAATAAAAATTAATCCTTACTCTGTTTGAGGAAATCATCAACAACAGCAAAATGAATAAAAATGTGGTAAAATACAGCTGCATAAATATCATCAAAATCTGACATTTCTCTTAAACATATCAACATCAACATCAACAAATATGTGACTTATATGCTTGTACCAGTCAGAAGTCAGCAGTAATACTGAGCATGGCAAACACCAAATTCATGATAGTCATTCTGAGACATGTATCCAGCATCTTCCCAAGGCAAGGGCGTTAACTTACTATAAAGATCCAGTTTCTACTGGATGTTTACAGTCAGTTAACTCCCTTGCCCTAGGAAGCTGTTTATCCAGGAAAATATATATTAAATCATGAATTCTTTAAGCTTAAGATATAGCAGGTTATATTTAAAGGATATGTTATTTTTCCTTAATAATAATCCTTTGAAAACAAGAACAAATTTTAGCCTGGGCATATGACTTTGACCCACGTAATATATGCTTGATTTGTTCATATGACTATAGTTAATCTGTGTTGCCATGATGTACAGAGAAGCCACAAATCAAATCTGACTGATAATACATTGTAAAGGTGAAATGAAACTATGATTCCGGGTAAATCTTGAAATGAAAAAGTGAATAACTGCAAATTTATTGATATCGCAACACAATAGTATATACTTATATATAATAATATAATATACTTGAATATGCCTGATAATTTGATCAGAATAATAACTTGGGACACTCAGCCATTGGTCGTGTGTAATGAACTGTAGTTGTCGTATGATGGGAGCTGCATTCTGATATCAAGGCACTCATGGGAGCTGAGGTGAAATAAGGTTTAACCTCACATTCATAATTATTATCTATTCATCTTCCTGAGGCAAGGCTTTAACTGACTATAAAAGTCCAGTTTCCACCCTTGCCGAACCAGGCTGGAATTGCGGAGTTACAGTTTGGACAGTCCAATCAAAACTGCGTAACAAACAAGACATTCGGTTTGTAAACATGGATTTCAACGTGCAGATTTCGGTCAACTGCAGGATTTGAAAAGATATTGTAAAGATGGCAAATATTTAGCCACGTGCATGTGTGTGTGTGGCTGCTTTTACCAGTCCAGACCAATGCCAGTCTTATAGTGCTAGCCCACTGAGATACCATGCCACAGTTTAACATGGATACCACGCTCAGACACAGTATACTGAATCCAAGCTGACTTGTCATTGTTTCAACCCCTAATGCTGAGCACAAGGCAGGGAAACAAGAAGTACCACTTTTTAACATCTTTGATATGACCTGGACAGAGATCAACCACCAACCTTCTGCTCTATGTACAGATGTTCTATCCACTAGACCAAGGACGCTGAGCATTATCAAGTAATCAAAGCACTTAAAGTGCTAAATATACAGATCACTAATAAATATAATTAATATATTCGTACTATTATATTGTACTGATTGGGACTTTTCTGTAGAAACTGATGAAAGTAAGGGCAAGACATAATCATGACTAGTAACAGGGTAGCAGTCCTCCCACATCGTGAATCAAGGCAACAACCTATACCACAGTGTAGTGGTCCTCTTTAGTCTGGCTATTAGTCACAATCATAAAATGTTAATCATCTTCCAAAGTAGATGATCACAGAATTTACAGACACAACTATGTAATGGTGTTTGTGGTAAACCTTCAAATCACAATGGATGAAAAACTGCTGATGCAGTGTAAAGCAATATTCATCCATTCATCCATCCATCCATCCATCCATCCATTCATTCATTCCAATTGCTGTCTCCAAGGATAAACTAAAATATTCTAATATTACCAAAATACTTTCTTGTGATCTGTCAGATTGTAACAATGTATGATTCTACATTAAGAGTATTTTGTTGGTCAAGTTCATAGATTATTTCCATTTACCTCTACTTCCAAAGTCCCTGGAACCATACCAATGTTTTATTTTACTTTAATTAAAACATTGGGATAAGTCCTTGCTGTTGCAATATCCAACCTCCACTCCTCAGTGACAGAGACTATGGCTAAACAATAGTGTATACATATACATGCACTTGGTAAAGTCTAATCTACTCAATGTTCATGACATCAACATAAAGTGTTATTAATACTGTACATATAGTTTGTTCTCATTTCAACATTATGATAGCACGGGGCAATGCACGTGTCAGCTTCCATGTGGACAAGGCATGCAGCTGATACAGCGATAAACAATAACCACTCACTCACTCACTCACTCACTCCATCAAAGAAAGGTGAATGTCCTTGACTAATTCCAAGCTCACCTCCAAATTCAGGGTATTTATTTTCAATTAAAAAATATACTTTTGCTCTATAGTCAGGTAAAACGTTCACTCTTAGGCTTCACCACTGTGTGAATATAAAAGATATATTTATAGATAAGGCCACAATAAACTACATATTTGATATTTTTTTAAATGTGAGGAGAGAGGCATTCTATTTTCATATTCATTTTCCTTGAACAAATTGTTCAAGGAGTGTGTACATTAGCAGATTTCATTAAAATAAGGCAATAGTATTTGGTAGGACTACACATAAATCGTGTATTTCAAACGTTAAAGAAACAGGGAACATGCATAGTGATGTTCTTAGTGTGGAAGCACTTGGGGCCAATAACATGTCAGGCGGGGAGTATTGGGGATGAACATGTTATGGATTTACAACGGCCTCATGTTTATTGTCTATAGGGACGTGTGCAAAAGGTGGTTCAATTGGGCTTGCATAAAGGAGGTATATCAGGTTTGAAGTGGTTTAAAACAAAATGAGTTATAAAAAAACAACCCGTATAGATTGGTTTGGTTGGTTTGTTGTTTTGTGCTGCATTCAGCAATATTCCAGCTATATGACGGCGGTCTGTAAACAATCGAGTCTGGACCAGACAATCCAGTGATTGATATCATGAGCATCGATCCACGCAATTGGGATCGATGACATGCTTCAACCAAGTCAGCGAGCCTGACCACCCGAACCCGTTACGGGTAGTCGCCTGTTACGGGAGGCATGGGTTGCTGAAGACCTATTCTAACCCGAATCTTCACGGGTCTATCAGTAAAGATATCAAGTAGTCCCCTTTACAGGAGATGTTGAAGCACAAGTTGAAACACTCTCTGAAATATTCCTAATGTCGTCAGGGCTGATTATCTGCTTCTGGATAGTTCATTGAACCCAGGCCTTTTTCCACAAAGCAATCAAAGCAGTGCTAAAAACCCTTTGTGAAACAAGTCCCAGGGCCCAGTGTTAGGCCAGGAACTCACTGTCACCTTTTGCCTTTGTGTTTGGGGTTGTGTTTGGAGTTGTGTTTGGGGTTGTGTTTGGGGTTGTGTTTGGGGTTGTGTTTGGGGTTGTGTTTGGAGTTGTGTTTGGGGTTGTGTTTGGGGTTGTGAATGGGGTTGTGTTTGGAGTTGTGTTTGGAGTTGCATTTGGAGTTGTGTTTGCGAATGCATTTGCGTCTGTGATTGCAGAAAACTCATATATGCGTTTATGTTTGCAACTCTGAACTATTATTGTTCCCAACAGTTGGTAAAAGGCAGGCCAAGAGATTCTGTCTTTAAATATATATACATGTGCTTAAAAACTGCAAGAAGTACCCAAGTCACATGACTATAATCACATGTCTAAAGAACTAAAAATATGTTATATTTAACCTCCATTGGTGCGATATATGATGCAATGTGATTTAAAAATCCTGCCCATTTGATAAAATCGCAATGCAAAACAAATTGCAAAGCAGCAATATAAACACAAGTACACTGATGCAGTCAGTGAGTTTAACATAACATCATCTGATGCTTAAAATGGCAATAGCAGACCATATTTGCAAACATGAACACAGGCAAAACAGTGGCAGTGAGTTTTGGCCCTTACAAAGTGATCTAAGTGCTACAACTATGATGAGTGTGTGGGAGGTAAGGTAGTTGCATCCCAGTGAGAAGCAGATCCCCAGCTGCCTCCCATGCTCAAGCCGTCTGCTTCTCTATTTTGTCCATCACCAGTTTGGCCGACACAACATCCTGAATGCCAAGACCTGAAATACAAGGGCAAGTATTAAACTATGATGGGAATCCTACCATTGGTTTGATATTAATTTGAAATAGGATTTACCTTATAATAACTAGATTCAAAGTTTCACATTTTGCATACCGTGAGGCGAAAGGTTTAACGCTGCAGTGAGCAATATTCCAGCTTCGTCTCAGCAGCCTCTAAATAATCAGGCCTGGACCAAGAAAGTTATTAAAAGCATAGGCCATGCAACGACCCTTGCCATCAGTGCCTGACATCAGCCAAGTCACCGAGACTGACCACCCTATTCTGTTCAGCCGGCTCCTGTGGCAAGCAGGACATACAGGGAACCTATTCCTCCCCTGAATCCGAAGGGGATGTTTTCAATGATTTATGCAGTAAAAAGAATATGTTTTATATGTTAACAGTGTAATGATGTAACTTGCAGTATTATTCTGCCGTTGATGTAGGAGAAACATAGACTCTGTCATCCAATCTGTGTACCTAAGGATTCTATACTTGTCCTGAATGTAAATGTCCTGAATAAAAACTGGTGGATCCAGAGACGGGATGGCCTCCCCTTCTTATGAATATTACAAGCCGACCTATGTCATTCCCTTCCTGCAATTTTCACTTTCTGAATGAAATAGTGTCCAGAATAATGTCAACTTACCAAGAGATTTAAAGACGGTTGTTTTGTCCACGTGAGCTTCCTTCTTCCCGAGAATTACCTCCCCTAGTTCTGCATATATCTCTGCCTGTGAACAAGCAAAATTTGAGAAGGGCATTACTCTCTCACTGATCTTCTATATTTGTAATGACAATTTCTCCTGAAACTTTAACCATAGGTGGTGAGGTGAAATGGGGTTTAACGTTGCACTTATATAGCTACGTGCATGTACATGTGTGTGTTTGTGTGGCTGCTTGTACTAGTCTGGACTGATAGCGATTTATAGTGCTAACTCACTGAGATACCATGCTGCAGTTTAACATGAATACCCCGCTCAGACACAGTATACTGACTCCGAGCCGACCAGTCCTTGTTTTAGTCCCTTAATGCCGAGTGCCAGACAGGGTAACAACAAGTACCATCTTTGGTATGACGCGGTCGGGGATCGAACCCCAGACATTCCGCTCTCTGGGCGGACGCTCTACCACTAGACCATGGAGGCGGTCCCTTTAACCATAAATGAACCCATATAAACAAGCTTACATACCTTAGACAAGACAATGTCTCCACTCTCCTTGTACCCGCCTTCATAGCTGTCAGCATACACCATGCTGTGGAGCATCAGGTCAGGCTCAATCTCGTGCCAGTCAGGTCGACAGGCACCTACCGCTGTAACAGCATCAGCTTCGTCAATAGTATAAGAAACATCGGCAACCCCAACAGTATCAGCAACATTAGTAACAAGAGCATCAGCAACATCAGTAACAACAGCATCAGCAACAACACCATCAGCAACATCAGTAACAACACCATCAGCAACATAAGTAACAACACCATCAGCAACAACACCATCACCAACATCAGTAACAACACCATCAGCAACATCAGTAACAACACCATCAGCAACAACACCATCAGCAACATAAGTAACAACACCATCAGCAACTACAGCATCGGCAACAACAACAGCATCAGCAACATCAGTAATGACAGCATCAACATAAGTGAGTAAGTGAGTTGGGCTTAACACTGCTTTAACAGTATTTCAGTTTTATCGCGGCGTGTCAGCTTAATGTGGGAGGAAAGCCTGAAGTGATGCAGGTCTCAGACGTTTACCACTTCGGTGAAACCCATGAGCATGGGTATGGTGCTGACAAACCTAGAAACATAATCAGGGCGAACCTGGATTTGAACCCACAATCATAGGCTACTTAGAAGACTGGGCCACCCGTGCCCCCGCATCAACATAAGTAACAACACCATCAGCAACAACAGCATCGGCAACAATAACACCATCAGCAACATCAGTAACGACAGCATCAACATAAGTAACAACACCATCAGTAACAACAGCGTCAACATTAGTAACAACACCATCAGCAACAACAGTATCAGGCAACAGCAACAGCATTAGCAACTACAGCATCAGTAACAACAGCATCAGCAACATCAGTAACGACACCATCAGCAGCAACAACAACAGCATCCGTAAGAACATCGGCAACAACGACATTAGCAACAACAGCAACGACACTATCAGTAACAACAGCAGTAACAACAGCATCAGAAACAACAGTAGTAACAACAGCATCAGTAACAACAGCATCAGTAACATTAATTGCACCACCAGCATCAGCAACACCATCAGCATTAACCTGTGGTGCATGTCAAATCTTGATGGTAGCTTTACTCCAAGTGGGACTACTCTCCTGTCTGGAGCCCACTTTCTATGTAGATACAGACGATTCAAGCCTTGAGTGACACTTACTTAGTGTAATCATTCACTTCTTGATAGATTTACATATCTAGATGTTTGATTACCAATCAACAACACAGTTCTCTTACCATTGATGTGCGCCCCAGGTTTAACCCAGTCTTTCTTCAGGACTGGCGTCGGTGAGGATGTTACCGTGACAATGACATCAGCATCACAGACGGCCTCTTCTACAGTTGTACAAACTGTGGCCCCGATCTCAGCCGCCAGAATGTCAGCACGTTCCCTCCTCCAGTTCCACAGTCTCACCTAGTGAGTGAGTGAGTGAGTGAGTGAGTGAGTGAGTGAGTGAGTGAGTGAGTGAGAGGGTGTGTGGTTGAGTGAGTGAGTGAGTGAGAGGGTGAGTGAGTGAGTGAGTGAGTGAGTGAGTGAGTGGGTGGGTGGAGTTTTAAGCTATAGAGAAGTGTTATTGTAAGCGAGAATATTATCCTACCCTATTTTTTATCCCAGGGATGAAATTCTCTAGTGTCAGGATGATTCTCCCTAGTGAATTTGAACCCATACCAGTGTGTTTAATCCTATCCTATACTTTACTCTAGATTAAAACTTCCCCCAGGATAATATTTAGGTAGCATATAATCCTTGCTTACATTATCACCTGTGGAGCAAGGAAACCAGAGGCTTATACTTTCAGCACCACACTATGTTGATACAATAACAAATACTAACAATATTGCCCAATCTGGCCACCAAACTGTGGATTCAATGCCACAATCAGTGATCAGTGATTTTTACAGACTAGCTGAGAGGCCAGTCTTAGTCCCAAGGTCTGCGGAAACGTCAGTAAAAATTCACAAATCTGAATTAAAATATTCCCAATTTATGTTAATATTGTTACAACTTATGTTATGGCTTTTTAAAGTGATTTTCCTCTTACTCAAAACAGCACCAATAAAAAGGAAGAGTCATTATTGTCTCTTATCCAATATTAAAATTAATGAAAAATATTCAAAAAATCCCAATTTGGAACACAATAAGGATTTTCCCCCTAAAACGCCTGCTTAGGGGATTTAGTTTGGAATCCTACATATATATCCTTGCAAATTATCCGAATTCATGCAGGCTGTTTTTGATTATGTCTTGTCAAAGGCTAAGCAGAGACTACCTGATACACCAAAACAGCAATAATGATAAGGCTTCTGTTTTTCCCCAGATCAAGATTTTTGTTTGTGTAAACAAACAGTGATTACATGATAACTATCGGCCATTGACAATCAGAACTTTGATAATATTTTCTGATCAGAGGAACTATTAATTAATTCACTGTGCATGCTACATTTGAATTAGTCTTAAGACATAAGTGCCATTCACAATTTTTATTCTGCAATAAACAAAAAATGAAATGTGAGCACGTTACATTGTGGAAGGTTCTGACGCGAGCCAGGGCGTGGAAGTGGGATCTGGCCTGGGTGCCGGCACCGAGGATGGCGAGAGTCGTGGAGTTCGGGGCGGACAGGAACTGAAACACACAGCGGAGTACTTGTTGAGACACCACATCTGAGCATCTACACAAACTGTCAGCTTATAAAACCGGCGTCTAGGGCGTGACGAGCGAACGCTTTAACCACTAGGCTACCCGACCGCCCCTAGTAGTTGAACAAGAGTTCGCCCACTAACGTGGCTATATCCCCTGCCCATGTTGCAGAATTTATGACATAATTATATCTAAACAAACCCTAACCTTTTTTAACCGAGGTGGAACTTGTCATGGAAATTTTTAAAAAAAGAAGAGTTTGGAACCTAAGTCCATCTTGCTGCCATGGAAACGTAAAAAAATAAAAATTTCTAAAATTTCTAAATAACAAAAGGCACCAGTTCAGCATGTACCTGACACACCTGCAAAGTTTGATGAAAAGATATTGAATGGTGTATGAGTTATGCTCCGGAAACGAACCCTACCCTCACAGAACCTAAGTCCATCTTGTTGCCATGGAAACGTAAAAAATAAAAATTTCTAAAATTTCTAAATAGCAAAAGGCACCAGTTCAGCATGTACCTGACAGACCTGCAAAGTTTGATGAAAAAATATTGAACGGTATATGAGTTATGCTCCGGAAACAAACCCTACCCTCACAGAACCTAAGTCTATCTTGTTGTCATGGAAATTTAAAAAATAAAAATTTCTAAAATTTCTAAATAGCAAAAGGCACCAGTTCAGCATGTACCTGACAGACCTGCAAAGTTTCATGAAAAAATATTGAACGGTTTATGAGTTATGCTCCGGAAACGAAATGTGACGGACGGACGGAGCCCGTTTCTATATCCCCCGCCAACTTTGTTGGGTGGGGGATAACAATGCACGGAATGCATGAACAATGGTTAAACAATCATATCTAGTTGAACAATGCATCAAATGCATGAACAATGGTTAAACAATCATATCTAGTTGAACAATGCATCAAATGCATGAACAATGGTTAAACAATCTCTAGGATACGCTTGATGTAAAGTAGGGTTAAATAGGTGTCAAAAGGAATCACACACTTCATGGAAGTTGCAAACTCCTATAAAAATAGGATTTACAAAACACTAGGAATTAACAGAAATCAGGTAGTCAAAAGGGAAACGGAATCAAGGTGCTTTAAACACTTTCTCACACACACTTAAAATTACACTCTACCTACCTTGGTAGCCACCGCCGATGCTGCTGCCGTCCTCATCATTGTGATCACCTCTCCATCCATTATCTTCAAAACATAAAGTAAAGGACCAGTCTATACCATGACTTTAGCCATTAGTCACAAGCCAAAGAAGAACAAAAATCAGATACGAGTAACAATATTCCATAATCTCCAAAAACCGACACTATCTGTTGAAAATCATGTCTAATATTTGGAATAGTTTTCCACCCTGACTGTAGTTTAGACAGGTTTTTATACCTAGCAAAATGTCGGTCACATCTCTACTCGTTTCTTGAATTAAATATGTAGTGTAATCTGTTTAAAAGATAATCATGGCTCTATAACATATGATAAATATGATAAGAGAAGATATAAGAAAAAATGTTTTCCATGAATTGTTGTTCAAATTCTCAGCACCCAGAAACATACATTGTATAACCTGCCTGTAGTGCAGCTGAACTAGCTACCCTTTAATCTTTTCTCGATGTGGAATATCCAATTAGGCTACCCTTGTTCATATTTTTCCAGATATGGACTCACCAATAAACAATTACTGCCCTAAAGTATGTTTATCACTTATATATCAGCAAACTTTCAGAATAAGAAATAATCAAACTTGGATTTATTTGAAACACTGATAGAAGGAACTGAGCACCCACCGTTTGAAAACACTTTTAGGTTATGTTTTTGCCGAGATCATCCATCCAAAACAGTGCATCATAGGCCCAATATTTTTTTAGTATTCTATCATATATGTTTTCTAATTGTACTTGTTTTTGAAATAGTCCTTTTGGCATTACCATTTTCGTTAGTGCTGTTTATATCAGGATTACCTGGGTCTATGAGTAAACAGAGCCTGCCAGCTATATAAGTATTACCTTAATAGGGCCTCAGTGGGTTTTAACACTGGTCCATAGCGCAGTCATTGTGATGCTGGTAAAAACATCCTTCAACCCATATAGGGCCTTACACATACTTAGAATTCAGGTTTGTTTGTTTATTTGTTGTTTAACGCTGAACTCAGCAATATTGCAGCTATATGATGGCGGTCTGTAAATAATAGTCTGGACCAGACAATGAAGTGATAGACATCATGAGCATAGATCCATGCAAGTGGATATGATGACATGCATCAACCAAGTTAGCGAGCCTGACCACCCGATCCCATTAGTTGCCTCCTACGACAAGCATAGTCGCCTTTTACGGCAAGCATGGGTTGCTGAAGACCTATGCTACCCCGGTCAGAATACAGGTACATCGGGCAGGACACCCCATGGACAGAATTGTCCATGGATTTAACTGTTGTACATCTGTTAAAACTCTTTTGATTGTGTTTTTGTTAATGTCTGGGAAAAGAAGATGACGATCATAACACCTGTGTGGCAGTTAGCTGTCACATTGTGGAGGGTATCCAGGGATACAGCAAGTGAGTTTTGACAGTACAATTTATTTTAAACTAATAAAATGTCCAAAAAAATATGTTTATATTCCGTTGAGCAGGTTGAAATGGTACATAGTAGTATACAATGTTTTATTGTGAACACTTAGGCATAGGTTTTTTTAATATTTTTATAATGACCGACCTTGTTTCGAAAAGCTTGAATAAATCTGGGAAGCACAAAATTAAAAAAGTGTGGCCTATATGGGTGAAGAAGATTACCATCCTTACTCCAAATCCTATCAATTCTACCTAAATTTGGTAAGTGGGAATGTTTGGGGTTCAAATGTTGACAAAGGTAATACATTTTTCATGTCCCTATGGTCTGTACTTCATGTCCCTATGGTCTGAAATATTTGGGTACATAATTCATAGGATGATCTGTTTACAGGTAGATAATAATGGGTCATTGTGCACGGGTAGGAACTGCACACATCACATGATCACAGTGAGACATGACATTAACTTTGCCCATGTAAGCTTGGGACCACTACAGTTGCAGAACTACCTTTGAATCATTAATGCACTGGAATTCAATGTGATGTGCAGTTTCAGTTTCAATGTGCACAAAATCACTTAAACATTTATAAGGCATTTAGGTATGATATTTCCAATATGGCTGCAAAACAAGTGTAGTACATCCTCTATTATTTGAATAATAAAAGGAAGCGTGTTCATAATTCAAGTTAGCAGAGGATGGTGAGTGAGTGAGTTAAAGCTGTATTGAACAGTATTTCAGTTATATCACGGCATGCCTGATTGATGGAGGTGAGGTGAGGTGAGGTGAGGTGAGGTGAGGTGAGATGGGGTTTTACATCATGTCCAAGATTGTTGCACTCATATAGCGACGTGCTTGCACATGTGTGTGTCTGGCTGCTTGTACTAGTCCGGACTGATGCCGATTTATAGTGCCAGCCCGCTGAGACACCATGCCACAGTTTAGTATGGATATCCCACTCAGACACAGTATACTGACTCCAAGCCGACCAGTCCTTGTTTTAGCCCCTTAATGCCGAGCGCCAGACAGGGTAACAGGTACCATCTTTCAACATGTTTTGGTATGACGCGACCAGGGATCGAACCCCGGACCATCTGGTCTCCGGCAGTCGGATGTAGGAGGAAGGCTATAATGCAGGCATTAGACATGTACCACTTTGGTGAAACCCATGAGCACAGGGATGGTGCTGACAAACCCCAAAACACAAACTGGGATTTGAGCCTACGATCATGTTGCTGGTACATCCAAGGGACACAACTCTGCACAGCATATTGCAGAGCCTTCAAGGACTGGGTAACAAGTTACAAGGTTTTCTGACACAATGATCATGATGTTCAACCTACAGTTTTAGGTATTCCATTGTTGATGTCAAACACCAGGATAACGGCGTTGTGTGTTGGCACATCTTTATTCATGGGAAAGAATGTGACCAGCTTGGTCGCCAGAGCTTCATCGTGTTGACTGTAGCCAGGCATAACTCCAAAAAATCTGTCGTAATAAATTGAGAATTTGACCCTCTTGAGTTTTGATGTCATTACATCAGGTAGCCTCATGGGTAAGAATAAATACATGACCTAAAGTATATTAAAAGTTCCTATTTTATTTGTGAAGAAAGTTATACTCCAGTTTGGGAAAACACATGCGCAATGCAAATACAGATATAAAACAAAACGTTCACTTAATAAACAGTTACAAACACATGATCTTGGCTTTCAATTTGAAACAATTAAATACTTTATTATTTAAAGTTGCAAAACTAGGTGCTAACTCTAACAAATGTCATGTCACCTCAATAGCCATGCCACAAGCCATCCTGATATATCCATAAACACTTTCATGCACATGACGGGTTTTGTTGCATGTGCATCAACCACATTTACATGTTTTTCAAGAGTAGAATTTTTTGGGTGCACACATTTCACTTTGCTGTTTTTTTTATCAAAAATATCTAAACTGACAAGGCAAACTCCAAATCATGTCAAAATAAATTTTCCAAACTAGGTAAAAATAACTCCAAACTATGTTTAGTCATGATGATAAGGCCAAAACAACTCCATCATCCAACTGAAAAGTAAAAACAAGGTTGAATATTTGAAGTCCAAATGACAAGGTGTCAACAAGGTTAATTAGTTTGTTGATAGGAATATTTTTGCATAAGAGTAATCTTAACTCACTGATAACCCTATATGATTGTATTAACGGGGTCATTGACCTGCAAGGTCATTCACAGGTCATCCCTCCTGCTTAAGAGATGTTTGAGTTGGATAGAGTCTGCTGATGCATATGGGGGTGATTTAGGGCCGGTAACCTACATTAACTCTTACACATCTAACCCTAAATTGTAAGGATTGAAGAGGAACGCAAGACCAGTGTATAATCAGAGCCAGTGCTGGAGCCAATTAGCTAATAGCTTCACACGATAAAGTCAAGTCATGCCTGAGCTGCTGCCCTTGGAGAAACAACTCCTGAAGTTGTCCAAGTCAATGGTAGCTGTAGCCGAGAGCCGCGATGGCGTCCTCGGCTACGCTAGCTGCATTATGATTATGGTTACTTTTGACGAACCCGTTTTTCGGTGGAACAAAAATGACACTTCTCATCGGTTGGTCGACGCCTGATTCAGGGCGTGAAGAAAACTTCCTGAATGCAGATTCAATCGTGTCGATGAGGTCTTCATATTTTAAAACTTCCAAAACCTTGCCAGCAGGAACGATGCCTATATTTTCCACCATTTTGACCGAGAGAAACAAAGTCACATGACAGAGCCGGATTTGGCAAGGTGGGTGAGTTTTGGCTATTACTCGAGTATTTGTGAACATATGGAAACAGGGAACGGTTACCATTTTACTTAACAGAGACCATCTCTGCTTTTAACATAATGACATTATCAACCATTACTTTCTGTATTTTGATTTAGATTACTATAATGGCAGTATAATTAAATATAGAAGTTCCGTATATATTCCAACAAAAAGGATGAGCTCTTTAGTTCCTTGACAAATGTTTGTTTTATCTCAAAAACGCCAACCGGAAGTGGCAAAGACAAGCATGGCTGCGGAGCGGGAAAGAGAGTTGATGTATCTGGTAAATAAGATTATTATGCGGTAATTTCATTATAGGAAATTTAATATGAAATTTGCAGACGAATTATTAAAGTATACTGCTTCTTCAAAGTGATCAGAAACTAGCTTTCTTTCTTGATTGCTTATGGTGAAGGGAGAAATAATGAGTTGACATTTCAAAACAATATCCAAACTCATAATCACATTAGGTCTCGATCTACAATGAATGATTAAGATTTGGTTATTTCTCAAGACCTTGTTGGCAGTTAATAGATAAAACAGGTCACACCTGTTTAAATAATGGTAGTACCGTAATTATTTGTCACCAGCTGTTCATATGTGTCAATATTGGATCTGCAGATCTACTCAGCAGAAACTTGAAAGTTATGAAACGTTTTCTGTCTTATTATTTTCCCCGCACTGCACTCTCTTCTACGTCTTCCTGATTATCTACAAGTCATAAAATATATTTTTCTTTAATCAAGTAATGGCAGCAATGCAGTAAACCAGTTGCAGCATCGCCCTCTACCAACAGCTCAATTACCACGCTATTGCGCTGTCGCTGTCTCGCTATACCGTTACTGTGGCTTATGCTCGATTGCACTCGCACTCTTCTCAGGAGCTGACATGCCATGGCGATCCAACACCGATTTTCAATCTTTCAGAACTGACACACCTAGGCGACCCAACACCCTTTACGATCTTCGGGAGCTGTCTCGTCTTTACCATCCAATGCCCCTTTTTCGATCTTAGGGACCTGTCAGGCCTTTCCGATCCAACACCCCTTTTCAATCTTAGGGAACTGACACGACTTTCCGATCCAACACCCCTTTTCGATCGTGCGAGTTAGCCTGGTTAGGGCTAGGGCTCCATTTTGATGGACAATGGCAGGCGTGGCTACTTAAAAAATATGAATGGAGACACGTGCACAATCATTGTTTACTTAACTGCGCATACATGAAGATGAGGTGCAACATCTGTTATTCTTATATGAGATATCAACATTTTGTACAGCCTCTTTGTCAGTAGCGATTGTCATATCTCTCCCACTTTTGAATGCGATCATTCTGTCATCGCATTCATTGGCTTTGCCCAGCTACATCATATCATGTACATCAATGAGGAACAACATACAAGACACTTTCCTCTATAAAATAACGTCCAATTTATGTTATCAAGTTGCGAGCGCATGTTCGAATCTCCAGAAATGATGTCATGGTAGAACAATGTTTTATCGTGAAATAAACCACGCTTCTTTCTTCATTGTTCTTTACAATTTATCACGTAGCTAACTTTTATAACACAATATTGAATATCTGTGTGGACTTCATCTCAATTTGTTTGTTTTATAATTATCCTTTTTTTAAGGCTATTCCCTGTGGGTCCAGTGAGGCACTGTCAGCTACATGGGGGCTGGGCAACCAGCTGTATGTTTACCCACAGGGGCGACCAGAGACACTCAGCAAAAGTAAGTTGCATGACCTTCCAGCATATTGTTAGAAGACCTCCACATAAGCTCCACATTTGCCCTCAATATGCAAAATAAATCACCATTACCCAATTAATTATCCCCCGCCCAACAAAGTTGGCGGGGGATATAGAAACGGGCTCTGTCCGTCACGTTTCGTTTCCAGAGCATAACTCAGAAACCGTTCAATATTTTTTCATGAAACTTTGCAGGTCTGTCAAGTACATGCTGAACTGGTGCCTTTTCAGATATTTTTATTTTTTGCATTTCCATGGCAATAAGATGGACTTAGGTTCTGTGAGGGGAGAGTTCGTTTCCGGATCATAACTCATAAACCGTTCAATATTTTTTCATGAAACTTTGCAGGTTTGTCAGGTACATGTTGAACTGGTGCCTTTTGCTATTTAGAAATTTTAGTAATTTTTATTTTTTACGCTTCCATGGCAACAAGATGTACTTAGGTTCCAAACTCTTCTCTTTTTTTTTACAATTTCCATGACAAGTTCCACCTCGGTTAAAAAAGGTTAGGGTTTGTATAGACATAATTATGTCATAAATTCTGCAACAGCAGCGGGGGATATAGCCAGGTGAGTGGAAAACTCTTGTTTTGAGTTGATTGTTTACAAATACGCAAGAATTTCAAAATCCCTACTGTATCATAGCACTGCAACTATCCAATGTATCTTTCAACTTGAGTACCTGTATTTCATTACACATCTTTATTTATTGATCGAATGCAGACATCACACGTACATGAACTCTAGTCTACTGCTGTGAATAATGCATAAACAAGGCGCTGCTTCTTGCTTATTGTTACTTTGATATGTCTGCTGTTGTGAGTTTATGCAACATGTTTCACGCTTGGGGAAGCTCACTGATAAGTTATCTAGAGACGTGTGCTAGTGTTAGTTTCTTTGTTGAGAAAGAAGAAAACAACTTCTTGAGTTATAAAGTGATGTTACTTTTCCTTGGTTACAGACCGACGACAGGGAGCGGGGACATCTGCTGCTGAGGTATCTGACATCCGATGGAACACTGAGATGCATGGACCAGTCACACGCAAACTTGTCAACGAGTCACACAGTAAGGAAATCTAAGAAACTGGGTTAGAATTGGTCAGCAACCTATGTTGTCACAAGAGGCGATTTAATGAATGCGGGTGGTCAAACCCTGTGACTGATATTTGTGTGTGGGATGTGGCTCATAATGTCAGTCTCTGGTTCATCTGGTCAAAACTTGGTTATGAGGTGTTAAATAACAAACAGATGTTTTGATCTAAGTAGGGGTGTCACGATACAGGTACCTCACAATACGATACGTATCTCGATTTTGAGGTCAAGATATGATGCGTATCTCGATACAGCAATACCTACCTTTCATGCGTTAATTTAGGAGCAAACCTTTTAATATCAGGTTCACAATTATGTGTTCTTATCACTATCAGTAGACTAATTTGTAAAATAATAATACTTAGAAAAGGTTGATTCTGTTTAATTAAACAAGTTTCAGATAGTTTCGTATGTGTCAAATTCAGAAAATATGATGACATTTTGACTCGAAAAGAAAAATCAATCGATACGCGAACAAATGGATACCGAGTTCAATAAAATTTCGTATCTATATAAATTTACATGTATGTCAAATCGTATCGTAAGAATTATCTACTGATGCATCGGTACAATCGGTGAATCGTGACATCCCTAGATAAAAGTAAGTAAAGCCCCCAAAAAACTACACAAATCATGCAATGCTCTACTCTACTGTATACAGGTAGGTGAAACGGGATAAGGTTATACACATGGACGAAGTATCATGAATGGTCATGATTACAGAGGACAGCTGAATAATAACCTCTGGATCGCTGTGTATAGTGGTCTTGGTTCAATCTAATGTAGACAGATACCCAGGGAGGGAGTCTTCACCAACAAATCTTTACACTTCAGATATCTTCGTGATGCTCCAGGGGCAAGTCAACAGCCTGTCTGGGACCGCCCTACACACACAGTGAGTGGTTTATTGTGCCTCCTGATCTGATTGGGGTGGGGTGGGGTAGATTAAGGAGTAACACATACACTGGCAAGTATTATGTTTTACTCAATGATGTCCTTGTGCCAGGTTCAGTTTGACGTCGCTACTAGTTTTCAGTATAAGCCAAACCGTCATTACCATGGCATGTAGTAAGCGGCATGTTGTTGATGGGAGTTGTGATGGTTTGCTTCAGACTGGTGAAGGCCAGCAAGCAGTACCGCTCCGTCCTGAAGGCCTGCAGCATGGAGCTGTTGCACCTCGCAGGTAACTCTCGGACCGAGATTATTTTATCTTATCCTGACTCATACTTATATATGGAGACCCGTGAAGATTCATGGGTAGAACAGGTCTTCAGCAACCCATACTTGTCTACACCCGTGAAGATTCTGGGGTAGAACAGGTCTTCAGCAACCCATACTTGTCTACACCCGTGAAGATTCTGGGGTAGAACAGGTCTTCAGCAACCCATACTTGTTTACACCTGTGAAGATCCGCGGTAGAATAGGTCTTCAGCAACCCATGCTTGCCGTAAAAGGTGACTATGCTTGTCGTAAAAGGCGACTAACGGGATCGGGTGGTCAGGCTCGCTGACTTGATTGATGCATGTTATCGTATCCCAAATGCGTGGATCAATGCTCATGATGTCAATCACTGGATTGTCTGGTCCAGACTCTATTATTTTACAGACTGCCGCCATATAGCTGGAGTGCGGCGTTAAACAACAAACAAACAAACTTATATATGGAGCACAGAAAAACATTCCAGTTACACAAGTGGCGCGCTGAGAGGGTGATGAATTACTGGGTTGGTCACTTGGTTTTGGTGCGCATGAGCAAAATAAGGGTGCATTAGGGCTAGCTGTTTTCTCTGTTCTCCGCCAACACAGCGAAGGAAGTTTCCACTACGTGTTCGGAAAAGAGAGAGAAAAGCATAAGTATGAGTCAGGAGATGTATAAATGATATTTTTACACAAAAAAATACATTTTTCAACCTACATACTTGACTGCTCCAAAGTCACTTACCTCCAAATATGTGCACTGGTACCTTGATTCATTGAAAGTGAACTTTGGGATTCCAAATTGAAAACAAAAACCGGTATTCCATTTATTTCCACCAATATCGTAAGCCATTAGCATCGTACACTTCTGAATTTGTGATGCTAAATTTGCAGACACAACCCAGGATGACCACCAGCGGGCTTACTTCGAGGATCAGCTGCAGATGTTTGAGATGATTCAGCTCATCTGGAGCCTCTGTGAGATACTCTTTGTGGACACAAGCTCAGGTAGGTGCTGAGACCATGCAGACAATACAGTAGGATTACTATACCAGAGTTACTAAAGAAAACACCTCAAAATGATAAAATATTTGGAAGTCACAGCAAGTTTGGACTATTAGATTGCATAGATAACCAGTATCACTTGGTCAACTGAAGTAAACATGGTACAGATGAATGGTTGTTGGCATCTTCCCGAGGTAAAGGCGTTTACTGACTATAAAAGTCAAGTTTCCACCCTTGCCGAACTAGGCTGGTATTATGGAGTTATATTTTGGCTGGACTAACGAGTCTGTGCATTGTCCAATCACAATCACACAACGAAATCGAAATCTGGTTTGTAAACTGCCATGCAGATTTCGTGGATTTACAAAGCATGTTCACCGCCAACTCGTTGTCAACAGATATTTTCCAAATCTTTTCATGTTTTTAATCAAGGTGCTCTCTTGATTTGATGCACTTCGCGATATAAGACCAATTTTATGACAATATAGATCGTGATTATCGATCAGATCATCTTGACTTGGCGCCAATATTTTGTTTGAAACAAATGCAAGTGATGCGAGAGGTGGAATCTGATTGGTCCATAGGAGAGGCATAGAAGGGACATAATTTGTAATAGCCACTGGTGGCGCTACTATTGAGCCCAGGAATGCCAGCCCAGTTCGGCAAGGGTGGAAACTAGACTTTTATAGTCAGTTTACTCCCTTTGCCTCGGGAAGATGGGCCTCTCACAGCTTCGACTTTCTGTCTAAATACAGCAGTAAATGGTGTAATGCAGGATAAGTATACAAATGTAAAAATTTTACTAAATTCATTATCAACCCTCATAGCAATAGTGAAAATACACCCACTAGTCACCCATGTGTTTCTGCAGATAATTAGACTGATTATTCTCTGGTGTTGGCGCTTGCCAGTGCGTTTACATACAAGACCTTGATGCATCTAGATTATTGACACGTGTTGTGTCTCCTGTTGTAGATGGGCTGGTGTTGCGGCAGCTGCTGGACTGGCTGAGATGGCACTTCTCTGAGGGGAAAAGGATGGCAATGGAAGTACACAGAGACGAGCAGCCAGACTCGCACCCCATGTACTGGGACGCTGTGAGTGTCTTTGTGGTTATAGATAGTTGTACGACCCGTGAAGATTCAGGGTAGAATAGGTCATCAGCAACCCCTGCTTGCCGTAAAAGGCGACTATGCTTGTCGTAAGAAGCGACTAACGGTATCGGGTGGTCAGGCTCGCTGACTTGGTTGATGCATGTCACCGTATCCCAATTGCGTGGATCGATGCTCATCATATCAATCACTTGATTCTTGTCCAAACTCAATTCTTTACAAATCGTACATACAGCTAAATGTTGCTGATTGTGGCGTTAAACAACAACAACAACAACAACAAAAATAGCTCATGTAGTGGGATTCTACAAGACCTAATTCTGTGAATCTATGAAATCCTTGCTGGATTCCTGGCTGATCAGTTGGGGTATATGTGTTGGGCTGCCAGATGCAGACAGTGTGTGTGTACATGGGACTGCTACTGCAGGGGTTTGTCTGGGATGGGGAACTAAGTGCCCCTGGTAGGCAAAGTGTGTGTGTACATGGGACTGCTACTGCAGGGGTTTGTCTGGGATGGGGAACTAAGTGCCCCTGGTGGGCAAAGTGTGTGTGTACATGGGACTGCTACTGCAGGGGTTTGTCTGGGATGGGGAACTAAGTGCCCCTGGTAGGCAAAGTGGGAAAACATTGTTGCCTTGTTTTTATGTTCTCCTTTTGTTAGATTCAGAGATATGTTAACAGTGTATTTTGAGATTGCAGTCAATGCAATACATTCCAACTCTTCCTCTTTATTGGTGCTGTTATCAGTGAGATGAAGGTTACCTCTACTTTCCATACAAGCAGCTATTAGTTTTTACAGGAATAAGTTTTTTTCAAAACAGAAATTTGACATTGATTTGGTGTGGACTATCTGACAGGTCTTGGTAACTCTGTGTACTGTTCCCCCTCAGATCTACCGACTGACTCTCCAAGGGGAGGCTGAGAGCGTGAGGAGGCTTCTGTCCCAGCACTCCTCGGCAAACTCATCCGATGCATTTGCTGTCATGGATGAACTGCTCCGGAAAATGCCACAAGCACATGTAAGTCACTTCAGATGCACTTTTTCTCCTAAAACAATCAGGACCACTTGACGTCATGCCATGACATGTGACAACTAACCACCTACTGTTGGATAATGTGCAATATGTAATGCAGGATAAGTTAAAAATATTCAGAGTATTATGTTTATTTATATACTTATCCTGCATTACCCAGGGTTGCCCTGACTTATGGCTTCCTACCCACTGTACCATCAGCCCTGAGGGACGTCTTGAAGACAACAATGACACGTAGTGCAATATGTGATGCAGGATAAGTATGCAAAATAAACATGCTTCTTACGGAATGTTTATAGCAATGTGTGCTCTTGGTGTAACCCATGATATGACTGCCAAGTAGCCAAACATGTAACAACAGCAACAAAGTAGACACAATTTATGGATAACAACTTCAATTAGTGTAAAGGCGACATGTCAGTATAGATCCTTATACCATAGTCAAGCAAGACTGTCTTCTTTGACAACGGTATAAGGATCTATACTGAAACGTCGCCTAATTGTGTCTACTTTGTCATACGTCGACTTCTAAGTAATGCCTATCAAACAATTCATGTAACAAAGACACTGAGATGTATCTAATTATAAGGAAAAAGATTAACTGTTTGATTGGCATTCTAGAAGTTGGTGGGTAAATAAGAAAACATACAAATTTATGCATAACAGCTCCATGGATGTAGCGACATTTTGATGTAGGTTTTACACTGTTATAGTGGGTTACTCAAGCTAGGGGCAGTAAACCAGGTGCTGCTATCCATACAGTTGTATGTTTTCTCATGTAGGAAAGTGTTCGTAAAGGAACACCCTGGTACCTACTATTTCCTGCTTGACGTTACCATGGTTACCAATGTCTTACTACCTGTACAACAGCAGTACAATCACATCCCGTCGGCGGCGGAGTACGACATGAAGTGGCGACACTGGAGGGAAGAATGTGGCCGGGTGATGGAGGAGGGACAGTTTGCTGCCTTCACCAACTTGGAGACGTTAGCTCAGGTAGGTGACCACTGCCTCAGGTCCTCTGCCTGCTGTGTACACTGTTGTAGAATTCACTCAAGACTTACAAAGAATGATGAATTCATATATCACCATTAAGTTTAAGAAATTGGAAAAGAGATTGACTGTTGTATGTGTCAGATACTTGTTCCCTTTACAATGTACACAAACCATATTGTGAAATAACGCTTGTCAGATATGAGATTGTAACCCTTGAAGACTTGTGCATGAACAAAATCACCAAGTTCAAGTTTTGAGAGCGTTTAGTTTCTTCTCTTGCAAACTTAGATAAGAAATGGAGACTGTTTCCTTCGTATCCCACGTTTCTCCCATTCGTATCCCACGTTTCTCCCATTCGTATCCCACTTTTCTCCCATTCGTATCCCACATTTCTCCCTACCTGGACCAGTTTTCTAAGGTTATGGCATACCCATGTTTTTATGTATCTTAAGCATATAACTGTTATGTGCAAACACAAGTCAGTCAGAAAGTCACTTTGTTTGTTTTCAGATTTTGTGCGGTGATGATGCAATATTTACTGAAATGAAGGACTACTGTGAAACTTGGTATCACCTGCTTGTATCGAAGATGTTGTATCAGAACCCGACTGTCAAAGCCCTGGACCTTCACTTCCATGTGCAGGTAAGTGTTGCCATCAAACTCCAGTACCATGCTGCCATTCATTGCAGAGTTGTGTCCCTTAGGTGCTGCCATTCACTGCAGAGTTGTGTCCCTTAGGTGCTGCCCTTCACTGCAGAGTTGTGTCCCTTAGGTGTGCCCGAAACATGTTGTGGGTTCAAGTCCTAGATTTGCCCTGATTGTTTCCAGGTTTGTAGGCTTCGTACCTGTGCTTTTGGGTTTCATTGGTGAACATCTGCAACCTGCATCGCTTCTTCTTCCCACATGAAGCTGACACGCCGTGATATAACTGAAACACTGTTCCCAGCAGCGCTATACCAACTCACTCACTCCTGTACCAACTAATGCAAACAACTTAGGATCTGATACCTTAAAGAACTTCCTTTGATTTTTTAAATAAAAGAGGATGTTCTACACTGAATTCAGTCGTTGATTGTGTAAATTGTTCCTGTATAGACGTCTTAGTTGATTGTTTACACATATCAAAACCCGCGAAGATCCGGGGTAGAATAGGTCTTCAGCAACCCATGCTTGCCGTAAAAGGTGACTGTGCTTGTTGTAAGAGGCGAGTAACGGAATCGGTTGGTCATGCTCGTTGACTTGGTTAATGCATGTCATCGTATCCTAATTGCGTGGATCGTCAATTACAGACCGCCGTCATATAGCTGAAATATTGCTGAGTGCGCAAACAAACAAACAAACACATATGAAACTTGTGTTTTCATGTCAGAGCTGTATGGAGGAGTTCTGTCGTGTGGGAGCTCGTATGGGAGAGCTGGACAACATTCTGCAGGCAGCCATTGAGTTCGACATCCATCAAGTGATCAAGGACAGCAGGTAATGTCACTAAAGGTCTTGCTTTGGGGGGTCTCAGGTTGACTATGGTGCCACAATTCACTGATTCACAGTTGTGTCCCTTGGTCATGCCAGAACCTATGATTGTGGGTTCGAATCCTGGTTCGCCCTGAACATGTTTCTAGGTGTGTCAGCACTAAATCTGTGCTCGTAGGTTTCACCAAAGTGGTCAAGCCTAAGACCTGCATCACTGGGCTTTCCTCCCGCGTCACTATGTTTTGTAGGATGAATGTGTGTATGTGCTGTAATTGAAAAATCGAATAACATTGATAAAGTGGATTTGTTCCTGGAAATCTCGCCAACCATGTATGCTATTTTGCCACTACTTGTCCACTCCCCCCTTGAAGATCTGGGTTAGAATTGGTCTTCAGCATCCCATGTTTGTCATAACAGGTTACTAATGGGGTGGGCCAGTCAGACTCGCTGACTTGGTTGATGCATGTCATTGTATCCCAGTTGTGTAGCTCGATACTCATGATGCCATTTACTGAATTGTCTGGTCCAGACTCGATAATTTACAGACTGCCTTCATATGGCTGGAATATTGCTTAGTATGGCATTAAACAACAAACAATACTTATCCACTCACTCTTAATACTGGGGATATTTGCTCTCTTGAAAATAGGATCTCCCTACTGATTATAGGATCTCCCTGCCGATTATAGGATCTCCCTGCTAAAAATAGGATCTCCCTGCTAAAAATAGGATCTTCCTGATAATTTTAGGATCTCCCTGCTAAAAATAGGACCTCCCTACTTATTATAGATCTCCCTCCTGATTATAGGATCTCCCTTCTGATTAAAGGATCTCCCTGCTGATTGTAGATCTCCCTCCTGATAATAGGATCTCCCTCCATATTAAAGTATCTCCATGCTGATAATAGGATCTCCCTGCTGATTATAGGATCTCCCTGCTAAAAATAGGATCTCCCTGCTGAATTTAGGATCTCCCTGCTAAAAATAGGATCTCCCTGCTGATTATAGGATCTCCCTCCTGATTTTAGGATCTCCCTGCTGATTATGGAATATATGAATGCCTATTCTGATGCAGTGACATGATCTGTGTTCCAGTGCGTTTCTGAGTACCGGCAACTGGTGGTTCGTGTCTCACCTGACTGACATCCTCCACCACTGCGGCCAGCTCGACACACACAACCTCGCGTATGTCATGCACCTGCCACTTGCTTAATGGATGTAGCTTCAGTAAATATGAGATGACAACTAGTTTGTAGGGACAAGCCAATTATTCCACGATACATCAAACTGATATTAAACTTATTATCATGATTATGAGTATATGAAAATAGTGCAAACTCTGTCAAGAGTTGAGTATCGCAAATGTCTAGGTTATATAGCTTTTCACGTTTCATGCAATATTGGACCTTTGAAGATCCGGGGTAGAATAGGTCTTCAGCAACCCATGCTTGCCGTAAAAAGAGACTTATAATATGCTTGGATCGGGATCGGGAGGTCAGGCTCGGTGTCTTGGTTAATGCCTGTCATCGTATGATGCATGTCATCGATCAATTCTAATGAAGTCTATCACTGGATTGTCTGTTCCAGACTAGATTATTTACAGACCGCCGTCATATAGCTGGAATATTGCATAGTGGGCGTTAAACAACAATCAAAACAAAAATGCAATATTGTCTTAGTGGCATTTGGAAGATGATGACAACAACAGTGACTTATGGATTTCAACTTTTTTATTGAGAATGGAAAAATGTTTTTGATATTAACAGACATCAAAAGTTCATATGTTTTTTAAATGTTCTTGTCAAATGTCATGTTTGGTTTGTGTTGTATTTTCAGGTTTGGGTCAAATTTGCGAGAGTTTCTGTTGCTGGAGTATGCTTCAACTTTAATGTCACACAAAAGGTCAGTGCATGTAACGAAACACCATCATCTGAAGAACGTATGTCTGACTGTAATGGAGGTCAGTTTCAATGTTATAAAATTTCACCTATTACATGTTTTGTAATCAAGTGCTCCTTTCCGGAGCAGATCTTGAAAAACGTACAATATTTGTTCACCAAACTTGGCACATAGATAGGTCTAGTGGTAAACTGGTGCCTTTTGAAAGTTAGGGATTTTTCAAGTTTCCGTAGCAACGACTTTGATTTTGACTGAAAATGGCGGGAGTGCTCGTTTCCGGAGGGCTAGTGCACACAGCCGGACATGTCATGTTGGCGGGGGATATGAGTACCAGGGATATTTTATGCTTGTTTGATACAGTGTGAAGAATATTCCTTGTTTCAGCTTGTGGCAGGTTGGGGTGGACTATTTCGACTGCTGTCCGGTGTTTGGAAGGTAAGCAGTTGGGTATTTAAATACTGGAGGAATCGTGTCATAAGTGAACCCTTAAACAAAATTCCTGTTCAGGATTATATTTGGATATGTTTTACCTTTAACAGAGGAGAACTTGAGTCAACAAGCTCAGCCGGGATTCAGGAACAAACCATGCCCCAGACACCATGTTTGTCAAGGGACGACCGATATTACATGGGATTGTCACAGTGGCTGATGCCTTGATGGCCTCCATGCCCTGTGCAACTTGGCTGTTTTCATGGGATATTATACCATGACAACTTATAAGCCAGGCGTAATTACTCACTGCTGGTCCTTGTGAAGGCTGACTGTTTTATACCATCTCATAGTCGTTCATGTCATGTGAGAACCGATGGTGCTTGTACTAACCCATTGTCTTTTACACTGCAGCAAGTACCTGGAGCTGTACATCGAGCGTATTCCCCTGGAGACGGAGAAGAAGGCCCAGAAAGTGCTGCACATCTGTGAGGAGAGGAACATGATGGACCAAGGTGAGCTCCTGCAGGACGGCTTGGGAGCTGATGTGTGTAGTGTCGTAGTGTGACTATCTAGATACATGACGTGTCATAGTGTGACTATCTAGATACATGACATGTCGTAGTGTGACTATCTAGATACATGACGTGTCATAGTGTGACTATCTAGATACATGACATGTCGTAGTGTGACTATCTAGATACATGATGTGTCGTAGTGTGACTATCTAGATACATGACGTGTCGTAGTGTGACTATCAAGATACATGACGTGTCGTAGTGTGACTATCAAGATACATGTAGTGTCGTAGTGTGACTATCAAGATACATGTGTGGTAGTGTGACTATCAAGATACATGTAGTGTCGTAGTGTGACTATCAAGATACATGACGTGTCGTAGTGTGACTATCAAGATACATGTAGTGTCGTAGTGTGACTATCAAAGATACATGTAGTGTCGTCGTGTGACTATCAGGATACATGTGTCGTAGTGTGACTATCAAGTTACATGTGTCGTAGTGTGACTATTAAGATACATGTAGTGTCGTAGTGTGACTATCAAGATACATGTAGTGTCGTAGTGTGACTATCAAGATACATGTAGTGTCGTAGTGTGACTATCAAAATACATGTAGTGTTGTAGTGTGACTATCAAGATACATGTAGTGTCGTAGTGTGACTATCAAGATACATGTAGTGTCGTAGTGTGACTATCAAGATATATGAAGTTGTGCAATGTTGCTATCAAGATACATGTAGTGTTGCAATCAAGATACATGACGTGTTGCAATGTTGCTATCAAGATACATGGCATGTTGCTATCAAGATACATGACATGTTGCAATGTGGCTATCAAGATACATGACGTGTTGCAATGCTGCTATCAAGATACATGACGTGTTGCTATCAAGATACATGACGTGTTGCAATGTTGCTATCAAGATGCATGACATGTTGCAATGTTGCTATCAAGATACATGACATGATGCATTGTTGCTATCAAGATACATGATGTGTTGCAATGCTGCTATCAAGATGCATGACGTGTTGCAATGTGGCTATCAAGATACGTGTAGTGTTGCAATGTAGCTATCAAGATACGTGACGTGTTGCATTGTTGCTATCAAGATACATGATGTGTTGCAATGCTGCTATCAAGATGCATGACGTGTTGCAATGTTGCTATCAAGATACGTGTAGTGTTGCAATGTTGCTATCAAGATACATGACGTGTTACATTGTTGCTATCAAGATACATGACGTGTTGCAATGTTGCTATCAACATACATGACGTGTTGCAATGTTGCTATCAAGATACATGTAGTGTTGCAATGTTGCTATCAAGATACATGATGTGTTGCTATCAAGATACATGTAGTGTTGCAATGTTGCTATCAAGAAACGTGTTGCAATGTTGCTATCAAGAAACATGACGGGTTGTAATGTTGCTATCAAGATGCATGTAGTGTTGCAATGTGGCTATCAAGAAACATGTAGTGTTGCAATGTGGCTATCAAGATACATGATGTGTTGCAATGTGGCTATGAAGATGCATGTAGTGTTGCAATGTGGCTATCAGGATACATGATGTGTTGCAATGTTGCTATCAAGATACATGATGTGTTGCAATGTGGCTATCAAGATACATGACGTGTTGCAATGTGGCTATCAAGATGCATGTAGTGTTGCAATGTTGCTATCAAGAAACATGTAGTGTTGCAATGTCGCTATCAAGATGAATGTAGTGTTGCAATGTGGCTATCAAGATACATGTAGTGTTGCAATGTGCCTATCAAGATACATGTAGTGTTGCAATGTTGCTTTCAAGATACATGTAGTGTTGCAATGTGGCTATCAAGATACATGTAGTGTTGCAATGTGCCTATCAAGATGCATGTAGTGTTGCAATGTTGCTATCAAGAAACATGTAGTGTTGCAATGTTGCTATCAAGATGCATGGAGTGTTGCAATGTGGCTATCAAGATACATGTAGTGTTGCAATGTGGCTATCAAGATACATATAGTGTTGCAATGTGGCTATCAAGATACATGACGTGTTGCAATGTTGCTATCAAGATACATGTAGTGTTGCAATGTGGCTATCAAGATACATGTAGTGTTGCAATGTTGCTTTCAAGATACATGTAGTGTTGCAATGTGGCTATCAAGATACATGTAGTGTTGCAATGTTGCTATCAAGATACATGTAGTGTTGCAATGTGGCTATCAAGATACATGTAGTGTTGCAATGTTGCTTTCAAGATACATGTAGTGTTTAATGTGGCTATCAAGAAACCTATAGTGTTGCAATGTGGCTATCAAGATACATGATGTGTTGCAATGTTGCTATCAAGATACATGATGTGTTGCAATGTTGCTATCAAGATACATGTAATGTTGCTATCAAGATACATGATGTGTTGCAATGTGGCTATCAAGATACATGTAGTGTTGCAATGTTGCTTTCAAGATACATGTAGTGTTATAATGTGGCTATCAAGAAACCTATAGTGTTGCAATGTTGCTATCAAGATGCATGACGTGTTGCAATGTTGCTATCAAGATACGTGTAGTGTTGCAATGTTGCTATCAAGATACATGACGTGTTACATTGTTGCTATCAAGATACATGATGTGTTGCAATGTTGCTATCAACATACATGACGTGTTGCAATGTTGCTATCAAGATACATGTAGTGTTGCAATGTTGCTATCAAGATACATGATGTGTTGCAATGTTGCTATCAAGATACATGTAGTGTTGCAATGTTGCTATCAAGATACATGATGTGTTGCAATGTTGCTATCAAGATACATGATGTGTTGCAATGTTGCTATCAAGATACATGTAGTGTTGCAATGTTGCTATCAAGATACATGATGTGTTGCAATGTGGCTATCAAGATACATGTAGTGTTGCAATGTGGCTATCAAGATACATGATGTGTTGCAATGTTGCTATCAAGATACATGTAGTGTTGCAATGTTGCTATCAACATACATGATGTGTTGCAATGTTGCTATCAAGATACATGTAGTGTTGCAATGTTGCTATCAAGATGCATGTAGTGTTGCAATGTTGCTATCAAGATGCATGATGTGTTGCGATGTTGCTATCAAGATACATGTAGTGTTGCCATGTGGCTATCAAGATACATGATGTGTTGCAATGTGGCCATCAAGATGCATATAGTGTTGCAATGTTGCTATCAAGATGCATGATGTGTTGCAATGTTGCTATCAAGATACATGTAGTGTTGCAATGTTGCTATCAAGATACATGATGTGTTGCAATGTTGCTATCAAGATGCATGATGTGTTGCAATGTTGCTATCAAGATGCATGATGTGTTGCGATGTTGCTATCAAGATACATGTAGTGTTGCAATGTTGCTATCAAGATGCATGATGTGTTGCAATGTTGCTATCAAGATACATGACATGTTGCAATGTGGCTATCAAGATACATGTAGTGTTGCAATGTGGCCATCAAGATGCATATAGTGTTGCAATGTGGCTAGCAAGATACATGTAGTGTTGCAATGTTGCTATCAAGATGCATGTAGTGTTGCAATGTTGCTATCAAGAAACATGTAGTGTTGCAATGTGGCTATCAAGATGCATGTAGTGTTGCAATGTGGCTATTAAGATACATGTAGTGTTGCAATGTTGCTATCAAGATACATGACGTGTTGCAATGTGGCTATCAAGATACATGACGTGTTGCAATGTGGCTATCAAGATACATGTAGTGTTGCAATGTTGCTATCAAGATGCATGTAGTGTTGCAATGTTGCTATCAAGATACATGACATGTTACATTGTTGCTATCAAGATACATGATGTGTTGCAATGTTGCTATCAACATACATGACGTGTTGCAATGTTGCTATCAAGATACATGTAGTGTTGCAATGTTGCTATCAAGATACATGTAGTGTTGCAATGTTGCTATCAACATACATGACGTGTTGCAATGTTGCTATCAAGATACATGTAGTGTTGCAATGTGGCTATCAAGGACATGGAATATCGCAAACTGCTATCATGAATTACTAACATAGTATCATAACATAGATCGATAGACATACAGACAGACAGACAGTTGATATTTCAGCCTTATTATAAGTTACAACTAGTATTACAGCCAAGTATATCTCCATCCTTCAGCACAGAGTATCTGCAAGTTGATGGGCATGAAGAGCTACAGGAATGGCCGCCTGGGTTCAGCTCTCTCCTGGTTTCTGCAGTCTAAGGTAAGCCTTTTGTGTGTTTTTGAGAACAGTTGAAAAGTTTGAGCTATTGAGTTTTATTAGGTTGTACATTGGACTTAGAAACTGCCCTTTCCTATTTCATGAGGCCTAATAGACTTTGTTACTTTTTTAGCTTTGCTTTGTTTGGCCTGACCATGTTCACTGTTCGAGCTAGGCAGTTCTATTGCAGCAGTCTCTTGATCTTATGTTGCGAGCCTAGTCGGTGGTTCGAATCCCGACTTGCTCTGATTATCATCAGTGTTTAACTGAAGTGGTAAACGTTGAAGACCCTCATCACTTCCGGCTTTCCTCCCACATCAAGCTGACACGCTGTGATATAACTGAAATACAGTTAAAAGCGGCGTTAAAACCCAACTGACTCACTCGTTATGTTGGGTGATGAGTGTTGGTGATCAGTGAGGCTATAACAGATATTTTTTTGTTGTCCTGCATCACTCCTTCATGCATCTGCTGCTTACCTTTGACAAAGAGACAGTGCCTAGAGGTGGTCCTAGATGAAGGAAAAAGGTTGTTTCCACTTTGAGTCTACTTTACTAAGGACCCATCACAGCTGTCATGTGACTGACTGTACTAAACGTTTGCTGATGATAAAGGATGAAAGTTTGCATCATCATATTGACGAGACCGCCTCCGTGGTCTTGTGGTAGAGCATCGCCCGGAGAGCGGAAGGTCCGGGGTTCGATCCCCAGCCGCGTCATACCAAAAGACGTTAAAAGATGGTACTTGTTGTTACCTTGTCTGGCGCTCGGCATTAAGGGGCTAAAACAAGGACTGGTCGGCATCGAGTCAGTATACTGTGTCTGAGTGGGGTATTCATGTTAAACTGCGGCATGGTATCTGAGTGGGCTAGCAGTATAAATCGGCATCAGTCCGGACTAGTACAAGCAGCCACACACACGTGCATGCACGTCGCTATATAAGTGCAATTATCTTGGACGCGACGTTAAACCCAATTTCACCTCACCTCATTTTGACTAATTGATGGTTATCAGATGTTCCCTGCTTTGGGATATGTTTATGCCTGCATTATTATGTCTGACATTGTGGAACTGATTGCAGGACGTCGCAGCTGCCACGAGGTTAACAGAGAAGTAAGTATTGATCTCCTGGTAGTTATGTCAGCCTCAGCTCATCCTCACCAGCCCACATTTGGTGAGGAGACTTCTTTTCTTTTCTTTTTTCTTTCTTTTTTAAATTTCCCCCCCAAATATGTATACAGTCAACAGATACTCTTTTACATTCACATGTGTCTCAGATTGTCACATGCATACGTTTCACCATACCAACAGAACCCTAGAGTTATATTTATTGATGTAGTGGTTGTACAGACATTATGTATTCCTCATCATATTGTGCACTGTACACATGTGTTTGCTGGAAACAGGTATTTGTTCAAGTAGATGTAATAACTGTTTAACAAACTGTAGATATTCATCAGCCCAGAGTTAATGCTTCTCAGAATTATTATAATAATTGGAAAACACCAGGGTGGGGCAAATGCAGCAGACTAAGGGTTCAGCACAGATGGATCTTTCCCACTTTCAGGATTAAAGTTCTAAAAAGTTGGCTACTTCATGAATTGCAACTTTCAATTGCGTTATCAATTTATATCTCACCCCCCAATAATCCTGTACTAGTATCTTACTATTTTAAAAAATAGTCGGTTGTTAATTGTTTTTTTTGAATGACTTGGCTGATTGTGTGCCATCTTCCCTGAGTGTGTAGATCTTTGCTTGAACTTTCTATCACGGGCTTCCCTGCTCAAAGCCGGGTTACTTAAGGCGCCTGTGGAGCTGGAATAATGCAGACAGCTGCCTTAACCAACATTTTACCATGACATTAAGAAAGGCTTGATTCTGATTGGTTAAAAAGAGGTATCAAATTTCCATTCGATACCTCCAAATTAAGCCTGTTCACACACAAAATGTGCATAAGAATGGCTGCTGATAATCTATCAGAGCTTTGCTCGGTTCCGGATTAAAATGATCTAAATACAGTCAGACGACCTCAAATTTCAAAACACAGTAGATTTATCTCCTAACTCACTCAATCAATAGCCCAGGGAAACTTTGAAGGAGTAAATCAGGGGACCATTATGTTCTTTGTTGTGGATTTGGCACCTTCTAGCAATGATCTGGTTGATTTAGTCAGTCATCATGTGTCATGAAATTGTCACAATGTCAAGACAACTGGTCAGTCTTTGTTACGACACTATGCACCAATACATTCACTGATTCTGAGAGGAGTGGCTCAGTTGTCTGAAACCACACTACTTTGTGTGAAGAGTTGTGTCCCTTGGCTGTCAGGATCTGCTGATTATGATCTTTGGTCTGTTTGCATCATACCTGATTTTTTCTGAACTGTGACACTTTTGGTTCAAGAGATGCTGTTCAAAGCAGTGTTGTACACCAAGTCCCTTACTTTCATCAAATTATGTACAGGATAAAAAACGCCTACTCGGGTTTGGTTCAAAATGTAAGACCTTGAGTTCAGCCAAAACTGAGGAGGCGTGTTTTATCCAACTTAGGAACCGTCTAAATGCAAGAAATACAGAAAAAATAAGAAAACATTGACATACCTTATGGTGAAACAATACAGTGTATCACAGTATAGAAGGAATTGGCTCAAAGCGTGTGATAGAAAAAACATGTGCAGCATGGAGTATCTGTAGTCATGACATGAAAAAAGAACAACTTCTCATCACCTGCCCCGGTAGCTCAGTGGGAAATCAGTGGGTAACAAAGCTTAACATGATATGGGAATGTTAAAAATAATTTGGGACATTTAACCAATCATCAAACACAATTGTATTCACATCAAGAGGCAAGGTTATAAAACGTTAATTGTAAAACCTAGGTATTACAATTAAAATGTATTCATCAGGTCCCCGGCAACGCCCCAGGCATTGTTGATATTGCCTGCCTTGTAAGTTTATCAACATTTAGAAGAACCTAGTGTTACTGTAGTGTGATGTCATCAGAGGTTCATAAGTCTGAATTCATCAGAGGTTCATAAGTCTGAATATTGCTGAGAAGTGCTAAGATTGGTTCCTACTTGCAGCTATGCCTCTAGACAGTAGACAGTAGACAGTAGACAGTGCCTCATTAACTTAGATAGACTGCACTATCATCCTCATCTTTGACCTTGAATCCCTGTTCCAGATTTCTCCTGGAGTATGGCGAGAGGGGGCAGTTCTCTCACCTTGATCTCCTTGACAACCTTGGATCATCTATGTTACTTAGCAACAGGCTGACATTTCTTGGTAAGAATCACATCTTTTCGTGAACTTTTTATGGAATAAACGTTCTGAAAAGTACCAATTCTAAATGTCAATCTTTAAATAATGAGAATAGCCCAAGTTAATAGGAACATTGTATTTGCATTGTTTACCTTCCTCACGTTATATAGAGCATGAAGCACACGGGTGAACACTGAAGGGACGTGTGTCCTGTCCTGTAGTCAGTCCCTTAGGCATGCTAGAAATCTACAATCATGGGTTTGAATCTCAGCTAGGCCTTAATTATGTTTCTAGTTTTGTAAGCACCATACCCACAGAGCTCGAGATCAGCTGCGTATTTGTGTAAAATACCCATTAAATAAACTGAAATACACAGACACATCAAATCTTAGCGTATCAAATTCGCAGCAAAAACTATAAATACGCTATTGAAATAAAATTAATGCGTATATTACAACTATGAGATAAAACCATTGTGTATCAGCCAATTGGCATATTCAGTTAGTTACATTCAGGAAAAGCTTCTGCGACAAACATACCCCGGTACTAATAGATGCCAATTGAAAAGCACATTGTGTCTAGTCAATGTACATGGATCTTCATTAGTCGCCGAGTTCCTCACACATCAAGCTGACATGTTACATAACAAAAGGTTGGTTGGTTGGTTTGTTGTTAAGCGCAATATTCCAGCTATATGACGGCGGTCTGTAAATAATCGAGTCTGGACCAGACAATCCAGTGATTAATATCATGAACATGGATCCATACAATTGGGATCGATGACATGTATCAACCAAGTCAGTGAGCCTGACCACCCGATCCCGTTAGTCGCCTTTTACGACAGGCATAGTCGCCTTTTACGGCAAGTATGGGTTGCTGAAGACCTATTCTACCCTGGAATCTTCACGGGTCACATAACTAAAGGACTGTCCAATTTGGTATGTAACCAAATCACTCACTCAGTGCTAGGTGGACGTTGACACTCTATGTTCGTTAGTGCGGTCACCCTGACCGTAGTCTGTGACCATACCTTGAGAAATCAGGCCACAAAGTGGATATTTTGGTGAAACTCTGTTGTTGTTATTCAGGAAAATACCGCGAGTTCCAGAAACTGTATGAAGACCATGACTTTGATGGCGCTGGCTCCTTGCTACTGTCCCTTCTCTCTGCAAGACTTGCTCCCAAGAAGTAGGTTCAAAATGCCAAAGAATCCGTTGCATGGATGTGCTGCTTTTAGAAAATGAAATGGTGAAATAAACTTGTACATGTCTCTGCATTGTGGGCAGATTCACATTTTCTAAATTATTTACGATGTTTTGGCTGGTGGACCATGATTGGGAATACTTGTTTAAGGTGCTCACTGATCCTTGCTATTGAAATGCATTACCGTATATCGCCACCTATAAAGTGACCCCACCTATAAGGCGACCCCCATGTACACCTTCAAAATCCTATACCCCATCTCTATAGCGACCTGGAATGAAGCACATCACCAGTGCACACACCTTATGTTTGCAATAATAACGTGTTTGTCCTGCCTTTTTTCTGTGATGCTTTGTTGAGTGTGTAACTCAAGCACATATCACAATATTTGTGTTCACACGGTGCAGCACCAAATTGGTGCCCAAAAAATAAAGTTCAAGTAATAAGGACATCTGTTGTTGAACATTTCAGTTTCTGGATCACGCTGCTGATGGATGCCATGCCGCTGCTGGAGGCACCCAAGGTGAGACACGAGGGGAAAGTGATGTCAGGAATGCAAGAAAAATGCTTGTCCTGCTTCATTTAATAAATACGAATCATAGGGCTATGGAAATAGCATAATAATGCAAATCTGCCTAATCTAGCCTATCCTAGCTGACACTGTGATTAGCCTAAAAATGTACTTTTACAGGTAAAATGATGATAAACTTGGAAAATATTCCTATTTTGTCATGCATGTATGAAACAGCCTGTCGCCTGAGGTAATTATCAACACCTGTCCCGAGGTGATGACCTCACACCGTCCCGAGGTGATGACCTCACACCGTCCCGTGGTGATGACCTCACACCGTCCCGAGGTGATGACCTCACACCGTCCCGAGGTGATGACCTCACACCGTCCCGTGGTGATGACCTCACACTGTCCTGAGGTGATGACCTCACACCGTCCCGAGGTGATGCCCTCACACCATCCCATGCATTGTCACAGGTACATGATGTCACCTGAGTAGGGGGTGGTCTCAGTAATTGCTGTTATTGTACTTTTTTTTGATATGTGTTGACAGGGGCAGCAATTAAGATTGTGGAAGTTGTGTTATATCTTGACACGAACACTTCACATTTAGCCCAGATAAGCTCAGAAGGGTTGAGCTCACAATCTGGCTAACATACTGTTTCAGATGATCTGAAGTTAACATTGCAAGATGTCAGATATTCCTGCCTTCAGACTACTCATGGTTGGCAGGACCGGGCGATATGATAACTGAGTTATCCATGACAATGACACTGGGGTTGTTTAGATTGGGCAGTAGCTGATGTTCCATCCAGTCCATGAACAGAGTAAACTAAGTCTCTATGTTTGATTCTGTGTTCAGGTGATCTTCAGCAGCAGCAAGACATACGAGATGATGCATTGTCTGGAGGAACTCACACAAGAGCTCATCAGGGGAGATAACTCTCAATACAGTACTTCAAAGGTAGGTTTCATGTTGTCAGACAAAAGCACATTTGTAGTCTTTGGACAGTTTTTGATGGAGTTTGGATTTCGGTTGAGTTGGGTTGATTTGGAAGATGTTGCTACTTCTTGCTATGTTTATGTTTGTTGTTTAACGCCGCACTAATAATATTCCAGCTATATGACGTCGGTCTATATGTAAATAATCTGAGTCTGGACCAGACAATCCAGTGATTGACACCATGAGAATCAATCCACGCAATTTGGATACAATAACATGCGGTGGTTGGTTGTTTAACGCCACACTCAGCAATATTCCAGGTATATGACGGCGGTCTGTAAATGATCGAGTCTGGGCCAGACAATCCAGTGATTAATATCATGAGAATCGATCCACGCAATTGGGATACAATGACATGCGGTGGTTGGTTGTTTAATGCCACACTCAGCAATATTGCAGCTATATGATGGCGGTCTGTAATTAATCGAGTCTGGACCTGACAATCCAGTGATTAATATCATGAGCATCGATCCACGTAATTGGGATCGATGACATGCATGAACCAAGTCAGCGAGCCTGACCACACAATCCCGTTAGTCGCCTCTTGCGAAAAGCATAGTCGCCTTTTACAGCAAGCATGGGTTGCTGAAGACCTATTCTACCCCGGATCCTTCTTCTTGCCCCATCATCAGGGCGTGACATTTCAGGACTACTTCCTGCCCCTCCATCATGGGCAAGACGTAGCCGTGAAACGTTGTTACAAGAATAAAGAAGTTTGTTATCCATGTGTGTTTCATGTCTTCATTTATTGAAACAAAACTGGGTAAAAACCCAGTTAATTAGGTAACAGTTCCTGGCTTTGACACCTCATCTCTGTTGTAGGGTCTGACGGATGTGGAGAATGAGCGCCTGGAACTGCTCCGCCTCGCGCTCACACGGAACCTGTCCCGAGCGATCATACATGAAGGCACCATCACCCCCTCCTGATACCCACGACTGACATGTTGGGTTGACCGGTGTAATGTCCTTATTCCAGCTACACTCCCTGCATATCGCCGGGGCAGTGGGAACTGAGTGGCAACATGACAACAATGATGGCTGTGTGTGAACTGTTTCTTCATGTGTTCACGAAATGTGTCTGACAGTTGTGAGCCATCTAAGCGTGGTGATTGACCAGCGTGGAGGTTCAAGATGGCACAGTGAACTAAGTGGAAGTATGTTATGCTGGAGCTGTGTAAGACAGCCCACACTGATACAAGACTCGGTGAGATTGTGTGGAAGTCACCGGGAGTGGACACTGACCAGAGGATAACCGTGATGACCCATACTGAACTGAAAGGGCGGATGTCGGCATGTCAAGTGTTTCCGCTACATACATGTCCTGCATCTGTGTTCATAAATGCTCCTAATGATTGCTTAAAAATGTAATGAAATAAAAAATACTTTTGATGATTCTGTTGAGCTTTTTGATAGTAACGTCACATTTTGAAATGGTTACTCGTCTTCCTGAGACTGTTTTGTATCTGATTATCCGTTTTCATGGCGTCTAAAGATTCTCAACATATACAGTGCCAGGTACATATGTCCAAACAGAATAATTCTCTCCACAATAATTTAAGGATTGACTGTTCTACAAAAGTTTGCACCTCAATGAACTGAGAAATATACACAGTCAATGCTTATAATTAAATTCGACAATGTAAAACATGTTTTATCTACAATAGTTTAACCCAAAACAGTTGTATATATCGAAACAGACAAAAATGAAAAGATTGAAAAACATTGAAAAACATTCCAGGTGTATGAATATATACTGTGGCGTGACATGAATCAGGTGATCGTTTAATTTATGCACATAACTTGATACGCCTACACAGTCAGTAGCCAATCAACGCAGAGTAGGAGCAAAACAATGTTCATTGGACCTGTGAATCAAGGCAAAAGGCGAGAAGAACTGCAACAGTCAGACTGTAACGAACCGGAAGAAATATATCCGGGAGAAGGCGGCTGTTCAAATGGCATGGTCAGTTACCGCCCAGATTCAAACATTAGTTCCCTTAAATCGGGAAAACACAGTTGGAAAAATGCTAGTTAGAAACTTGTGGCTAGTTAGAAAGTTGTGGAACCGAGGCTAGCGGGAGGGGGGGTGGGGGGGAACAAAACAGGCGAGTGAGCCTGCATGTTTGGTGTTTCATTCCTCCTCTGCCCTTGGCTTCAAAGGGTAGTTTGGACAATACAGGAGAGAGGAAGACAACACAACACATTTGATGTAAAACGTTTAATTTCCTAACAAACAAAGATTGTATACATGATTATTGCTTAGCAGTCGTGAAAATTAATGCTCACCGTAATGTAACATTAAGAATATCTGTAGATTCAGTACATCATGTTAATAAAAATGTAAAAACTGGATTATGTCCCCTTACTCCACCAGAGAGTTGAGACAGCAGGATACATCAGCCTGTCATTCATTCTGGTGCAACAGCGTGAGTGTTGTGTTATGTTGACATTCTTAGAAATCTCCACTACATCATGGCAACTGCCTGTATAAGACTGATGAAGCCAGGATCAGAGGATGTAAGAGAAGCTGTCAAGGACAAATATTGGGGAAGTATCTGTTCTGGTGTGCTGCTGCTTCAGGGCAACACATCGCAGAAGGCAGTTTTGTTTGTTTGTTGTTTAACGCCACACTCAGCAATATTCCAGCTATATGACGGCGGTCTGTAAATAACGAGTCTGAACCAGTCTATCCAGTGATTGACATCATGAGCTTGGATGCACGCAGTTGGGATACCATGACATGCATCAAACCACTTCGGCGAGCCTGACCACTCGATCCCGTTAGACGCCTCTCACGACAAGCATACACAGAAGGCAGAAGCTGCAGATTGTACTTCCCCCATGCCCTTCTGACTTTCATCTTCTCCAAGATGAAGGCAGCTAGAGACAGACAAGATGGAGCATCACTGGAACACGTGTATTGAAGTCAAAGGCGATTATATAAAAACTATGTGAATCTGTCAAATTACCCTCATAGCACTGGGGACTTGTATCCAAACTTAGGAGCCATTGTTCCCCATCAGCCCCATCAGCCTGTTGCTTCCTTCACGGACTATTTGTAGCATTATGAACCCACTCACATTATCATGTTATTTACAAAAGTAGAAAACTTCGTTAGGTGACCACAAATACACTTATTTCATAAATGGGCTAATCTAAGAAAAATAAGCACATTGAATATATACATACTCGTGAAATCACCTGAAAGTGGACATCATTAAATACGGAACCATAAATTGCACGTTTGTGAGAAATTGTACCAGGATGATATCAGAAGGTATCACTGACCATGTGCATATCTATAAGCATTGCTGACATTCAGCATGCTCAGTCTTTTCAAATTTCAACATCTGATTTGCCTATTAAACTTTATGTTAAACATTTGAGGTAGATCTCTACATAATCCCTGCACTAGTTCAGCTGTGAAAGGCTTGCACACTCGAGTGTAGTTCTGTTCCACAGATGTAAAGTAAAATGCTGGTCCAGGGTAGCATCAGTAGAGAATATGGAGGTTCAGTCCTTGTGTTTACCAAGAAAAATAAATCTACACATTTCAGAACAAGTTAGCAGTGGTTGAAAATCATGACCAAAAAAATTTCTACTATAACAGCATTCAAGTAACACATAAATACAGAATTGGATCACCTGTACATCAATACATAAATACACCTGGAAAAAACTTAAGTACCTTTCATTTATTAGGAATGATATTCCCAACTTTCATGTCAGTTTTGGAAATATCTACACATAACATTGGCGTCACTTTTATGTACCGTATTCGACGTAATAAGCGCCCCGCTCTAATAAGCGCCCACCTCAACATTTGCTAATATATTGCCTAGTGAACAATCCCAATTAGCACCCCTTCCAATTGATCAATGTACACAAGACTTATTTATTCGTGTCTTATGTGCACCCTTAATTATGGGCAATTAAATTCTGGAAAAATATGTCTGTCGTACATAAACACTTCAGGCTGTCAGCATAAACCACAAAATTTATCTTTCAACTCTGTTTTTTTCCACCAAAATATTATTCTAATAAGAGCCACCTATTTCTAATTTCGAGAGCACCCTGGGCGCTTATTACGTCGAATACAGTATGTCAAAAATAATACTGCATGTTTCTCCAGATATCATGCGATGCCAAGATGCAGAGGATGCAGCAACGGTTTGTCAAACTTCTATTGCCATGGAAGAGTTACACAATGTGTATTTCAATACGAGTCGTGTCAGTTTGTAAACAAAAATAAATGTGTTTCATCTGAAAGTAAAGGATGTGTTGGGTTTTTTAATTTGCTATTTTATATGGAGTGAGTGAGTGAGTATGGTTTTACGCTGCTTTTAGCAATATTCCAGCTATATCATGGCGGCGAACACCAGAAATGGGCTTCACACATTGTACCCATGTCAAGAATCAAACCCGGGCCTTCAGCATGACGAGCCAACGCTTTAACCACCAGGCTACCTGACCGCCCCTATTTTACATGGAAATGTTTTTGACGGTGCTTAAATATATTCCAGCTGTATTTTTGATGATTCTAATGCACGATATACATATTCAATATACTTTTATAAATAATAAAAATTGTATTGAAATAGTGCAACAATTCACAAATAGATATGCTCTGTGTGCTTATAAATAGCGACTGTAAGATTGTTGAGACAGAAATGTCTTAAGCTGAGATTTGAAGAGGAAATGGTGGCAGCAGATTTCTGATTTTCTGGCAGATTGTTGTTCCCCAGAGACGCTGCAGTGTATGACAATGTTCTGTTTTCGAAAGTAAAAGTAAAACACCAGGAACTATGAAGAGATGTTGTTGAGATCAGAGACAATGTTCTGTTGTCGAAAGTAAAAGTTTTAACACCAGGAACTATGAAGAGATGTTGTTGAGATCAGAGAGTTTGTTGCGGGACGTAAATCGGTCAGAGTTTCACTGAGGTAGGCAGGTGGAAGGTTGCCACAACACTTGTAGGCATTGATGAGGATCTTATAGTTGACTTGTTGACAGGTGGAAGGTTGCCACAACACTTGTAGGCATTGATGAGGATCTTATAGTTGACTTGTTGACAGGTGGAAGGTTGCCACAACACTTGTAGGCATTGATGAGGATCTTATAGTTGACTTGTTGACAGGTGGAAGGTTGCCACAACACTTGTAGGCATTGATGAGGATCTTATAGTTGACTTGTTGACAGGTGGAAGGTTGCCACAACACTTGTAGGCATTGATGAGGATCTTATAGTTGACTTGTTGACAGGTGGAAGGTTGCCACAACACTGTAGGCATTGATGAGGATCTTATAGTTGACTTGTTGACAGGTGGAAGGTTGCCACAACAGATCTTATAGTTGACTTGTGCAGCACTTGACAGCCAGTGGAGCTCCATGGGATGTTGAGAGACATGGTCAAACCTAGAATATCTGAATATGAGTCTAGCAGCTGTATTTGTGATGGCCTGAAGTCTGTTTATCTGCTCTTTGGATACATTCACAAGGAGGCTGTTACAAAAGTCCATTCTAGATATGGTTAGAGACAATCCAAGTATAAGGCCGAATTAATCCACTATTTGTGTGGTGACAATTAGCTGTGAGCCACACACTGGTCACAAGATAGTCCACAATCTGCTGCTAGTGACATGCCCAGATTTTCCACTTTCTCAGGGCAGAACAATGACTGCATCACCTATCCATTTCTGGATTTCATGTTTGGGGTGTATCACAAAAAATTCCTGGTTATCATCAGCATACTGGGGTTGACTGACTTCGTGCTTGTCACCAATGTTGCTAAGAGATCGTGTACCTAGTGTAAACAGTACTGGTCCTAAGATATAACCTTGAGGGACGCCATGGTCAAGCTTGTAGGCAGGAGTATGCTGATAGATCATCTCTGTCACTTAGAGAGGATCAAAAGCATGGCAGTGTTATAAGGAAGAATGGTTGACCATATCAAATGCTGCCAACAAGCCTTAACAGTAACAAATGTTAAGATTTGGGATAACACTTTCTTAGTAAAATACAGATTCTTGTACTCTTTTGGGTCCAAAAAAAAGTATGAGAATCTGTATTTTACATTTGTTACATTTGACCACTTTCTAAATGGCACTGTGTGTTCAAGTCTTAACAGTATTAGTGCTATCATTTTCCCGTGATCCGCAGCAAGTTAAGATGTCATTCGTGACCCTGATCCACAGCAAGTTAAGAGGTCATTCGTGACCCTGATCCACAGCAAGTTAAGAGGTCATTCGTGACCCTGATCCACAGCAAGTTAAGAGGTCATTCGTGACCCTGATCCACAGCAAGTTAAGAGGTCATTCGTGACCCTGATCCACGGCAAGTTAAGAGGTCATTCGTGACCCTGATCCACAGCAAGTTAAGAGGTCATTCGTGACCCTGATCCATGGCAAGTTAAGAGGTCATTCGTGACCCTGATCCACAGTAAGTTAAGATGTCATTCGTGACCCTGATCCACAGCAAGTTAAGAGGTCATTCGTGACCCTGATCCATGGCAAGTTAAGAGGTCATTCGTGACCCTGATCCACAGCAAGTTCAGATGTCATTCGTGACCCTGATCCACAGCAAGTTAAGAGGTCATTCGTGACCCTGATCCATGGCAAGTTAAGAGGTCATTCGTGACCCTGATCCACAGTAAGTTAAGAGGTCATTCGTGACCCTGATCCACAGCAAGTTAAGAGGTCATTCGTGACCCTGATCCACAGCAAGTTAAGAGGTCATTCGTGACCCTGATCCACAGCAAGTTAAGAGGTCATTCGTGACCCTGATCCACAGCAAGTTAAGAGGTCATTCGTGACCCTGATCCATGGCAAGTTAAGAGGTCATTCGTGACCCTGATCCACAGCAAGTTCAGATGTCATTCGTGACCCTGATCCACAGCAAGTTAAGAGGTCATTCGTGACCCTGATCCATGGCAAGTTAAGAGGTCATTCGTGACCCTGATCCACAGCAAGTTCAGATGTCATTCGTGACCCTGATCCACAGCAAGTTAAGAGGTCATTCGTGACCCTGATCCATGGCAAGTTAAGAGGTCATTCGTGACCCTGATCCACAGCAAGTTTATATGTCATTCGTGGCCCTGATCAATACAGTCTGTGTACTAGCTGTGTCCAACTGTGTAAACAGATTGTAACTTCTCATACAAGTAATTCTTCTTGAGGTGCTCCTGGAGATGAGTGCCAGCTGTTTTCTCTTGTAGTTTGGATAAATACAGAACTTTGGAGACTCATTAATAATTTTGGAGAATTTGCTTATTCAATCCTTCCTTCTTAGTGGGCTGGGTAGAGCATGTTTGATGGAGGAGGGCACTTCATCGGTCATGAGAGAGGTGTTTATTTTTCTGGTACTAAATGGAAGTAGGCAGTCAAGGTATTCCAACAGCAGGCTAGTCAGTATTGGATTTAGATCTAAGCTTTTCTTTTTCAGCTGCTTAATCAACTTGACTACCCGCTACTTCCTCTTCAGAGAATGGAGCTAGTTAAGGTAAAGCAGGACAGTCACTTGCATTGTCAATCTTGACAATTGAAGATATACAAATGTACTGCTGATATGAAGTTTGCTGCTTAATCCACTTGTCCATAGCCCAAGTCTAGTAATAGTCTGATAAGTCTAGTAAGCTCAGCTAGTAATGGTCCATAACACAAAACTCCCCGGGAAATGATGCAAAGAGCCAAGTTTGGGCTGGTAGACTTGGGTATTAGGAAATGTCTACAGATCCCAGTGTCACAGTGTCAAGATTGTTCCATAAAACAACACCTTCTCACCAACATGGATGAGTGAATGAGCAAGTTTCAGTTAATGCCACCATGAACATTATTTTAGTTATAACTAGGAATGCCAGCTTAATTTGAGAGTAAGCCTAAGGTGGGGCAGTTCAAACAGTTCCCCTATTGAGCACCAACCTAAATACAACGGCATGGTGCTGACATATATAATGTAATAATCTTGATTTGAACTCTCAATCAACTGATCCTGGTATAGCCAAGGGACATTACTCTACACGGGGGCATGACACACTGGCCCACTTATACCCCTCCTTGAAGAAGGAAGGAGAACCGTTACCAGGTCACTTCTGAGTAATGATATGGTTGACTGTGACAAAGCCTACGCATATAACCGACCAGGCAAGGATGAGAATAATCCAGCCAACATGGCTGAATGGAGACCTGTGGTAGTTCCGATAATCTATCACAAGTGGATCCTTCCTGGCAAAATACACCAGCAGTGCCGGAATCACATACTGTATTCCTGCACCAGCATAGGAACCCGTTATACCGACCAGGATCTCCACCTCATTGGTTACCATAGCAACAATGGTTGGCGGAATAACTGCCAAAATTGGAAACAGATTCCGTACATACTTCGAGTAATCCCTGTCTGGTTTGAGAAACAGTGTCTGCAGATTATTGCGCAGTGTGATGGCTATGATAGGGAAGTTGGTGCTGAGAGTGAACACTGGAAAGAGAGCAAGAAAATATTGGAAAAACTTGACACTCGTAACAGAATTGTTTCCACACTCGTCTGGCAGGAAGTTGAGGGTGTAGAGATCCTGTATTGACTTGAATGTGTAGATCCCAGTGAAAGACAGCAGGGCGTAGAAAGACAGAATAAGGATATAGTCCGCAGCCAGGACCTTGTACAATTTGGACTTGTCTTTTATTGGTGTGATGAGAGATGGCAGCGAGTGATGACACATGAAGGAGTACACGCACACGCCAAACAGGTTTGGCACTCCCGCTATGTTGCCTATCGCTGGTCGACCTTCACCTCTGTGTTGAGCCAACTGCATCACAGCAAGAACAATCATAATTCCAAACGCTGGAAGAAAACAATAAATGCAAATAATTTCCATCCATTTCAAATCGTCCAACTTGATGAGAGAATTTCTATGTGTCTGTCTGTATACAAGAGTAGTTATCAAAACAATATCATGGAATTGGGATTCGGAACTTTGCATTTTCATGTAAGGTACACATCACTATGTACAGAGTCAAAATCAAACTTGTTGCCATGGAAAAAAATATAAATTCTAAAAATCCCTAAATAGCAAAAGGCCCCAATTGACAACGTGTTTCAAGGAAGAGTAGCTATTAGTTTTAGAGATATGGTCTGGACAAACACACCACTAGCCAAAGTCAAACTTGTTGCCTTGGAAACAGGAAAAAAAATATTTTATTAAAATTACAATATAGCAATTTAAGGGCACCACTTCAGCCCTTGATTAATACAAAAATCAAATTCTGAAAAATTCCTAAATAGCAAATGGCACCACTTCAGTCCTTGGTTAATACATGTACCAGGTTTGAATCAAAAGTCTTTCACAGTTTTCAAGTTGAGACCAAGCTCAAATTGTTCCTATGGAAATCGAGAAAACTAAAAATGCCAAAAAATCTGCAAATAGCAAAAGGCACCACTTCCGGATCTGTCTGATATATCTGCCCAGTTTTGTTCAAAGATATTGAACGGTTGAACGCTCCAGAAACCAAATGATCATGGACGGACGGACAGAGACACGAGGTGTCGACTATATCCCCCCAAAAATTATTTGCGGGGGGGATAATTATAAAAATATTATTGACCACTTTATCACTCTGACCTCTATACACATCAATACTGACCTAGCCACCTTGCTGAGCCAGTGATAACTTGAAGGATCTTCGTTTTCTGGACATTGAAGAACACAAATGGTCCCAAAGCCAGGATGAAACATGCCTGGGAAAGAGCAATAAGAACAAAATTTCAGTACTCACTCATGTGCACACTGACAGTATCAATGACATAAGTGGTGAGTCTATTCAACAAGCCTGAATAATCTTCTTGTTTGTTTGGTTGTTGTTTAAAGCCGCACTCAGCAATATTCCAGCCATATGACGGCGGCCTGTAAATAATGGAGTCTGGACCAGACAGTCAAGGGATTGATATTGTGAGCAATGATCCACACCATCGAGGGATGATGACACACAGTCAACCAAGTCACCAAGTCACCACCAGATCCATCTGGTCACCTCTTATGCCCAGCATATGTTAGTGGGCACCTGTTCTAACCAGGAATCCCCACGGGGAATACTCATCTTGAGTGAGTCAAGTCATCTGCATGTTTTTCTTGACTATCAGCAAGATGTCAGCAACACCATGCAGGGCAGTCCAGAACTGGGCTCTCACATTGTACTCATGTGGGAAATCAAACCGGGCCTGACAATTAGGTGCAAGTCAGTAATATACTAAAAAGGTTTTGGACTAATTTCTTTAAGGTTCATACTCAATGAAATCAAACAGAGAAAAATGAAACATTGAGTTCTGGCAAGTTGTGTTTCGTTGTCCAGTTTGGTAATGTTGGAAAAGACAGGAGTTACTTGAAAATAGACCTTCTCAACTTATTAAAAACTTTCTAAAAATTAACCAGCCAGAGGCCAAGGTCTGACCCACCACAAAGATCCTGTATGCGTCCATCCGACTGAGTGAGGAGGAAGTCCAGCATGGTTCGGTGTCAGACAAGCTTTTGTTGCAGTTGGTCTCGTTAAATGGCCGCCAGGTACTACAACACAAACAAGTACTTGTCTCAAGACCTCACACTGGGACTGATGACTTCTCCATGGTGTTCTCATCCTCCTCTCTGTAAACTGACACCGTTGTCATCCTGTCATGTATCCTGTTTGAGGGATGCATATCTGCACAGTGAGTTGAGGCACCTTAGACCCCTGGGCCCCATTCCACAAATTGATCAAATGTTAAAGTATGGGAGTAACAATCATCTTAGCACTATGATCGCTTTGTGAAACAGTCTCTAAGGGATACAGTCTAGTGAGTACAACATGGGTAACTTCTTTGAACACCTCAGACCCGGGCACCAGTGTTGTACTCACCAGACTGTGTCCCTGAGAGACTGGAACACCTCAGACCCGGGCACCAATGTTGTACTCACCAGACTGTGTCCCTGAGAGACTGGAACACCTTAGACCGGGGCACCAGTGTTGTACTCACCAGACGGTGTCCCTGAGAGACTGGAACACCTTAGACCGGGGCACCAGTGTTGTACTCACCAGACTGTGTCCCTGAGAGACTTGAACACCTCAGACCCGGGCACCCATGTTGTACTCACCAGACTTTGTCCCTGAGAGACTGGAACACCTTAGACCGGGGCACCAGTGTTGTACTCACCAGACGGTGTCCCTGAGAGACTTGAACACCTTAGACCGGGGCACCAGTGTTGTACTCACCAGACGTCGTCTCTGAGAGACTTGAACACTCTAGACCCGGGCACCAGTGTTGTACTCACCAGACTGTGTCCCTGAGAGACTGGAACACATTAGACCGGGGCACCAGTGTTGTACTCACCAGACGGTGTCCCTGAGAGACTGGAACACCTTAGACCGGGGCACCAGTGTTGTACTCACCAGACGGTGTCTCTGAGAGACTTGAACACCTCTAGACCCGGGCACCAGTGTTGTACTCACCAGACTGTGTCCCTGAGAGACTGGAACACCTTAGACCGGGGCACCAGTGTTGTACTCACCAGACGGTGTCCCTGAGAGACTGGAACACCTCAGACCCGGGCACCAATGTTGTACTCACCAGACTGTGTCCCTGAGAGACTGGAACACCTTAGACCGGGGCACCAGTGTTGTACTCACCAGACGGTGTCCCTGAGAGACTGGAACACCTTAGACCGGGGCACCAGTGTTGTACTCACCAGACTGTGTCCCTGAGAGACTTGAACACCTCAGACCCGGGCACCCATGTTGTACTCACCAGACTTTGTCCCTGAGAGACTGGAACACCTTAGACCGGGGCACCAGTGTTGTACTCACCAGACGGTGTCCCTGAGAGACTTGAACACCTTAGACCGGGGCACCAGTGTTGTACTCACCAGACGTCGTCTCTGAGAGACTTGAACACTCTAGACCCGGGCACCAGTGTTGTACTCACCAGACTGTGTCCCTGAGAGACTGGAACACATTAGACCGGGGCACCAGTGTTGTACTCACCAGACGGTGTCCCTGAGAGACTGGAACACCTTAGACCGGGGCACCAGTGTTGTACTCACCAGACGGTGTCTCTGAGAGACTTGAACACCTCTAGACCCGGGCACCAGTGTTGTACTCACCAGACTGTGTCCCTGAGAGACTGGAACACCTTAGACCGGGGCACCAGTGTTGTACTCACCAGACGGTGTCCCTGAGAGACTTGAACACTCTAGACCGGGGCACCAGTGTTGTACTCACCAGACTGTGTCCCTGAGAGACTTGAACACTCTAGACCCGGGCACCAGTGTTGTACTCACCAGACGGTGTCTCTGAGAGACTTGAACACTCTAGACCCGGGCACCAGTGTTGTACTCACCAGACGGTGTCCCTGAGAGACTTTGGCACGGCTGCGACGTAGATGGACATATCCCCGTACAGGTAGATGACTAAACACAGGTAGAACAGCTTCTCTCCAACTGTAATGAGTTTGATACAGGTTTGGCAGTTCCTCAAAGATTGAAAACTGACATTACTGAGGTAAAACTAGTATTAGGTCTGAGTATTTGTATTATTCTTTTAAGCCTACTATCAACCTTCCTATCCCATCTTCGACACCAAAATACGCCATGACGAGATGACAAAAAAAACCAGTTGTTTCAGATGACAGTTAATTTCCGAATCCACAAGTGTCAATGTCATGTTCGATTGTGTATTCCACACAACTAGTAATCATCAATTACTGGGAAAAACAAAGATTAAATTAAACCTATTTGCAATCAGTTTAAACGACAGTCGCCGTTCCTGAGGAAGATCTAGCAAGTTCAAATGAGAGGTAAAAGAAGAGCATTACTTCTCTCCACAATGGCACACTTGAGCCGTCAGAATGGGTTTGTGTTTGATAAACTTGAAGCAACGTCAGGTGGTAAAGTGGTTGATGTTTCTCAAATAGAGGGAGATAACTTAAGCAGTGTTTAACACTTTATTTATTAATGATAAGAATGTTCATATCACAAACATACTTGGTGAGGTTAAATGGAGTTTAACATCGATTTAAAGATTATTGCACTTATCTATGCAGCTGCTAGAACGAGTCTGGAACTATGCTGGTTTCATGGAGCTAGCCCACTGAGACACTATGCCATAGTTTAACATAAATACCTACTCAGACACAGTATACTGACTCCGAGATGTGTGTGTGTGCATGTGCGTGTGGCTGCTTGTACTAGTCCAGACTAATGCCGGTTTCATAGAGCTAACCAGCTGAGATATCATGCTGCAGTTTAACATGGATACCCCACTTGGACACTGAGCCGACAAGTCCTTCTTTTATCCCCTTAAATAATGCCAAGTGCCAGGCAGGGAAACAACCTTTAGGTAAGAAGCGGCCATCCACTAGACCATGGAGGCAGTGTACAAACATACTCCAGGTGATGACCAACTATTAAAGAATGAAACACTATACTGTCTTACTTACCACTGTTGAAAAACATTTTAGCCATTTTGCCCTGAAATAGTAATAAAAACTAGTATTATTAACAAAATGGTACTTGTACCTACAAACGTTATATCTAACTAACTTATCTTCCAATCTAGTGTTACCATGAGATAGGTCTTTGGACCTAATCATATTTTGCTGGCCTCCCATTTTATGTAACTTACTTTTGCATGCCCCCCACCCCCAATACATGTGATATTCTTTTCATTTCCATCCCCTATTTCACCCCCACCCCTATCTCCTTATCTGGGAGCTGATTCCTACATTTACATCACAATCAGGTTTAGCCCATCATGAGGCAGGTGCATGAGTCGGACACACTCACATACCTCTGCAAGATAAACCCATATTTACATTTCATGGAAACAAAAAATATACTTACCATTTCTATCCTTTCCGATATATCAAACAACTTGTCCACATCTGAAAAAAGAGACATGTAAATGTATTGTGGGTCCCAGTGACAAGTATTGTAGGTAAGAGTGACAAGTATTGTAGGTAAGAGTGACAAGTATTGTGGGTCCCAGTGACAAGTATTGTAGGTTAGAGTGACAAGTATTGTAGGTAAGAGTGACAAGTATTGTAGGTAAGAGTGGCAACTATTGTAGGTAAGAGTGACAAGTATTGTAGGTTAGAGTGACATTGGTAAGAGTGACAAGTATTGTAGGTAAGAGTGATAAGTATTATAGGTAAGAGTGACAAGTATTGTAGGTAAGAGTGGCAACTATTGTAGGTAAGAGTGACAAGTATTGTAGGTTAGAGTGACATTGGTAAGAGTGACAAGTATTGTAGGTAAGAGTGATAAGTATTATAGGTAAGAGTGACAAGTATTGTAGGTAAGAGTGGCAACTATTGTAGGTAAGAGTGACAAGTATTGTAGGTAAGAGTGACAAGTATTGTAGGTAAGAGTGACAGGTATTGTAGGTAAGAGTGACATGTATTGTAGGTAAGAGTGACAAGTATTGTAGGTAAGAGTGACACGTATTGTAGGTAAGAGTGACACGTATTGTAGGTAAGAGTGACAAGTATTGTAGGTAAGAGTGACAAGTATTGTAGGTAAGAGTGACAACTGTTGTAGGTTAGAATGACAAGTATTGTAGGTAAGAGTGACAAGTATTGTAGGTTAGAGTGACAAGTATTGTAGGTAAGAGTGACAAGTATTGTAGGTAAGAGTGACAAGTATTGTAGGTTAGAGTGACAAGTATTGTAGGTTAGAGTGACAACTCTTGTAGGTTAGAATGACAAGTATTGTAGGTAAAAGTGACAAGTATTGTAGGTAAGAGTGACAAGTATTGTAGGTAAGAGTGACAAGTATTGTAGGTAAGAGTGACAAATATTGTAGGTTAGAATGACAAGTATTGTAGGTTAGAATGACAAGTATTGTAGGTAAGAGTGACAAGTATTGTAGGTAAGAGTGACAAGTATTGTAGGTTAGAATGACAAGTATTGTAGGTAAGAGTGACAAGTATTGTAGGTAAGAGTGACAAGTATTGTAGGTTAGAGTGACAAGTATTGTAGGTTAGAGTGACAACTATTGGAGGTTAGAATGACACGTATTGTGGGTAAGAGTGACAAGTATTGTAGGTTAGAATGACACGTATTGTAGGTAAGAGTGACAACCCCTTTAGGTTAGAATGACAAGTATTGTAGGTAAGAGTGACAAATATTGTAGGTAAGAGTGACAACTATTGGAGGTTAGAATGACACGTATTGTGGGTAAGAGTGACAAGTATTGTAGGTTAGAATGACACGTATTGTAGGTAAGAGTGACAACCCCTTTAGGTTAGAATGACAAGTATTGTAGGTAAGAGTGACAAATATTGTAGGTAAGAGTGACAACTATTGGAGGTTAGAATGACACGTATTGTGGGTAAGAGTGACAAGTATTGTAGGTTAGAATGACACGTATTGTAGGTAAGAGTGACAACCCCTTTAGGTTAGAATGACAAGTATTGTAGGTAAGAGTGACAAGTATTGTAGGTTAGAGTGACAAGTATTGTAGGTAGGAGTGACAAGTATTGTAGGTAAGAGTGACAAGTATTGTAGGTTAGAGTGACAAGTATTGTAGGTAAGAGTGACAGGTATTGTAGGTAAGAGTGACAAGTATTGTAGGTAAGAGTGACAAGTATTGTAGGTAAAAGTGACAAGTATTGTAGGTTAGAGTGACAAGTATTGTAGGTAAGAGTGACAAGTATTGTAGGTAAAAGTGACAAGTATTGTAGGTAAGAGTGACAAGTATTGTAGGTAAGAGTGACAAGTATTGTAGGTAAAAGTGACAAGTATTGTAGGTAAGAGTGGCAACTATTGTAGGTAAGAGTTACAACTATTGGAGGTTAGAATGACACGTATTGTAGGTAAGAGTGACAAGTACTGTAGGTTAGAGTGACAAGTATTGTAGGTAGGAGTGACAAGTATTGTAGGTAAGAGTGACAAGTATTGTAGGTAAGAGTGACAAGTATTGTAGGTTAGAGTGACAAGTATTGTAGGTAAGAGTGACAGGTATTGTAGGTAAGAGTGACAAGTATTGTAGGTAAGAGTGACAAGTATTGTAGGTAAAAGTGACAAGTATTGTAGGTTAGAGTGACAAGTATTGTAGGTTAGAGTGACATTGGTAAGAGTGATAAGTATTATAGGTTGGAGTGACAAGTATTGTAGGTAAGAGTGACAAGTATTATAGGTAAGAGTGACAAGTATTGTAGGTAAGAGTGACAAGTATTGTAGGTAAGAGTGACAAGTATTGTAGGTTAGAGTGACATTGGTAAGAGTGATAAGTATTGTAGGTTAGAGTGACAAGTATTGTAGGTAAGAATGACAAGTATTGTAGGTTAGAGTGACAAGTATGGTTATATTGTCCAACACTTTGGCTGTGTTTGTGCGCAGTTTAGGAACCAGTTGATGACCACGTGAGTCCTGTGATGACAACTCTGCTTTTCTCTGGCGTGCAACAACCAATAATCTTTGTCATACAGAATCATACCGGGCAACAACCACTAATCTTTGTCATACAGAATCACACCGGGCAACACTTACTCTGCCGAATAGTGCCAAATGTCCTGCATCTACTTCAGGTACTTGTCAGTCTGTTCCAAGTTGAATTCTCCACTCTTTGTAGCTTTAGAAAAATTGGCACTAGTCCTAGCCAATCTGCCCAATAGTTAAGGTATCATAAGGACTGGTAGAAATTTGCCCCTCTGAAGGGTTTGCTATATGTCATCATTATAAGGAGCAGTGGACCAAAACTGTTAGTATTTATCACTGCTCTTTGTCAAATCATGTAGCAAACAAATATTAGCTAAAGTCCAGACTAATTCTGAATGTCCTCCCCCCAACATCTATGCTCATCTCCCCGCAAAGCTAAATTGCCTGCCTGTGTGTATCTAGAGAATCAGTCCATAGATATTCTGTGTAGTCAAGGTGTTTTTGTTTACCATTGAAGATTTTATGGGCGGCGCCATCTTGCCGACCTTGACCTTGCTCCACTCTGTCCATGTGATTGACACCTGTTCCATCCAACTGTGACTTTAGTTTATTTATTTCTAAAGTAACTTCACTCTTCCTATCTCCCAAACATAAACATTCAAGCTCTGCTGATACTTCTGAACAGCCTTTTCCCAGATTCGTGGGACTGCTTGTGATGAGTTTTCCATCCCTGGGATTCGGCGTCGTGACCGTGTCACCTTTCCTTGATCCGGGGGTTGCCTGTAGATGTAAAGATGGACTTCGGATGGCTTCCATCACCCCCTGTATCCTATTCCATACAGTCCATCTCTGCTGTTTCACCTCCAAACTGCCTTCTGCCAGTCAAGAAGAAGTTTACAAATAGAATTCTCAGCAAGCGTGCCCGCCACAGTAGTTAGTGAGGGACAAACACAACATGGAACAAGAAATGTAGTTGGTATTGCCGAAGTGGCAGTACAGTATCACACTGTAACTGTCAAAAACTATTTTGCAATATAAACTATTACAACAAGTCTGCAAGTGTTGTGGATAGCAGTGATAAGTCAAAGTCGGCAAGACGGTGCCACGGACAAAATCTCAGATGGTAAACAAAAACACCTTGACAACACAGAATAAATATGGATCGATTCTCTAAATCTCTAGACGCAGTTGAGCTTGGCAGGGCATAAGCATTCATGTTGGAGAGAAATGTGGACATGATCTAATATTGGTTTGACAAAGAGTGGAGAATTCAACTTGAAACAGACCGACGAGTACCTGAAGTAGATGCAGGACATTTGGCCATATTCGGCAGAGAATGTGTGGCCCGTGTGGCTCAGCTGTTGCACGAGATGAAACAGTATTGGTAGTACATGGAGCAGTATTGGTAGTATATGGGACAGTATTGATAGTACATGGAACAGTATTGGTAGTATATGGGACAGTATTGGTAGTACATGGGGCAGTATTGATAGTACATGGAGCAGTATTGGTAGTACATGGGGCAGTATTGGTAAGTACATGGGCAAGGACTGGTAGTACATGGAGCAGTATTGGTAGTACATGGGGCAGTATTGGTAGTAAATGGAGCAGTATTGGTAGTACATAGAGCAGTACTGGTAGTAAATGGGGCAGTATTAGTAGTACATGGAACGGTATTGGTAGTACATGGAGCAGTATTGGAAATACATGGGGCAGTATTGGTAGTACATGGGGCAGTGCTGGTAGTACATGGGGCAGTATTGGTAGTACATGGGGCAATATTGGTAGTAAATAGAGCAGTATTGGTAGTACATGGGGCAGTATTAGTAGTAAATAGAGCAGTATTGGTAGTACATGGGACAATATTGGTAGTAAATAGAGCAGTATTGGTAGTACATAGAGCAGTATTGGTAGTACATAGAGCAGTATTGGTAGTTCATAGAGCAGTATTGGTAGTACATGGGGCAGGATTGGTAGTACATTGGGCAGGATTGGTAGTACATGGAGCAGTATTGGTAGTACATAGAGCAGTATTGGTAGTACATGGGGAAGTATTGGTAGTACATGGGGCAGTATTGGTAGTACATGGGGCAGTATTGATAGTACATGGAGCAGTATTGGTAGTACATGGGGCAGTATTGGTAGTACATGGAGCAGTATTGTAGTACATGGAGCAGTATTGGTAGTACATGGGGCAGTATTGGTAGTACATGGGGCAGTATTGTAGTACATGGAACAGTATTGGTAGTACATGGGGCAGTATTGTAGTACATGTAACAGTTGTAGTTTGTAATATATTGATATGCTGTATCGTATTGTAATGGCTTATACATATTTACTGTTTAGGTTAAAGTTATTGGGTGTATAGGCTAATGTCACTGTATGCTGTATGGCTAATGTCACTGTATGCTGTATGTGATATTATTATCATAAGTGTAAAACTGAAATATTGTGACAATTTCTGTTCCATATAGACACAGATATAAGACTACTATAGCCTAAGTTCATACTACACTTGAATCAAGTGAATGCTTGCAAATATTCTTTGTCTTCAGCTCTGATGCAGTTCAATGACAGTTGTAGCTCTTAACTGAAAGTACCAGTTCCAGAAAAAGAATATGTCAAGTTCAATGTTACATGGAATGGCAGACCAATCACACCTGAGGAACTACTACCTTTGGGGATGTCTCAAATAACATAAAGGCAACAATGGCACTGGAGCTCACCTGTCTCTTCCGGACAAACAAACCTGATGGTAGGACTACAGCATGGTTGCCTTTTATGGTAAGCATGGGTTGATTAAAACCTACTCTACCCCGGTCCTTGAATATAGGGAAGCTATGCTTTATATGTTCCCATGGAGACAAGCTTTGGATTAAGAGACAAAAGAGAGCTGTACAAATTTTCTCCTGTTTTTCAGGAATACTGTCACTGTATAATTTGCATGTGACTGAGTGAGTTGTTTGAAGAGTATTTCAGGTATATCGCTGTGTGCCAGCCTAAGGTAGAAGGTCACACAGAACACATAATTAGACCACTTAGGGAAACCCACAGGTATGACATTGTACTGACATAATAAAGATAACAATTTTGATGAACTTTGGATTGGAATCCATGTTCAGCGGATCCTGGTTGCTAAGGGAAACAACTCAGTACAGCTTGGTATCTTATATACTCTCTGAAGACTGTGGGTGAGTGAGGGAGTATGGTTTTACGCCGCTTTTAGAGGGGGACACCGGAAAATGGGCTTCACACATTGTACCAATGTGGGAAATTAAACCCGTGTCTTCGGCATCATGAGCCAACGCATTATAATTCAGGTAAAAATAATCTGCTAGGTTTTGTTCATTAGTTATTGCACAAACCTAGTCTTCTTCCTTGCAACAGCGGAACCTCTTCCTTGGTGTCTTCAGGTTCTTCGTGGGAGTTCTGGAACAAGGGACAAATGATGATGATTGGCGTCAAAGAACACATCAAACCGATTCCTAACATTAATATCATATGTTGCTTTTTAAGAGCATTTATTTAAAAATGCAAAGTATTTTACATTCTGTCTCACAAAATAACAAGGCATTCATTTGATGAAGCTCCAAGTGTGTTTTGAAGGTGATTTGTTAAAGGTGCAATTTTGCAGCGAACCCTACTATAGACAATATTGTACTCATGTCTATTACTCAGTCTTTTACTGGAAATTTGGGACCAGCTCAAAAGTTCTATGTTGGATAAAAAACTTAATTCCTTAAGTATTGAGACATACACCCCCCCCCAAAAAAAATCAATCCCCCAATCTGAGTACAGCATGTCCTCTATGTTGGTCTGAGTATAGCATGTCCCCTATGTTGGTCTGAGTATAGCATGTCCCCTATGTTGGTCTGCGTATACCATGCGCCCTATGTTGGTCTGAGTATAGCATGTCCCCTATGTTGGTCTAAGTATAGCATGTCCCCTATGATCGTCTGAGTATAGCATGTCTCCTATGTTGGTCTGAGTATAGCATGTCCCCTATGTTGTTCTGAGTATAGCATGTCCCCTATGTTGGTCTGAGTATAGCATGTCCCCTATGTTGGTCTGAGTATAACATTTCCCCTATGTTGGTCTGAGTATAGCATGTCCCCCTATGTTGGTCTGAGTATAGCATGTCCCCTATGTTGGTCTGAGTATAGCATGTCCCCTATGTTGGTCTGAGTATAACATGTCCCCTATGTTGGTCTGAGTACAGCATGTCCCCTATGTTGGTCTGAGTACAGCATGTCCCCTATGTTGGTCTGAGTACAGCATGTCTCCCATGTTGGTCTGAGTATAGCATGTCCCCTATGTTGGTCTGAGTATAGCATGTCCCCTATGTTGGTCTGACTATAGCATGTCCCCTATGTTGGTCTGAGTATAGCATGTCCCCTATGTTGGTCTGAGTATAGCATGTCCCCTATGTTGGTCTGAGTATAGCATGTCCCCTATGTTGGTCTGACTATAGCATGTCCCCTATGTTGGTCTGAGTATAGCATGTCCCCTATGTTGGTCTGACTATAGCATGTCCCCTATGTTTGTCTGAGTATAGCATGTCCCCTATGTTGGTCTGAGTATAGCATGTCCCCCTATGTTGGTCTGAGTATAGCATGTCCCCTATGTTGGTCTGAGTATAGCATGTCCCCTATGTTGGTCTGAGTATAACATTTCCCCTATGTTGGTCTGAGTATAGCATGTCCCCCTATGTTGGTCTGAGTATAGCATGTCCCCTATGTTGGTCTGAGTATAGCATGTCTCCTATGTTGGTCTGAGTACAGCATGTCCCCCTATGTTGGTCTGAGTATAGCATGTCCCCTATGTTGGTCTGAGTATAACATGTCCCCTATGTTGTTCTGAGTATAACATGTCCCCTATGTTGGTCTGAGTATAGCATGTCCTCTATGTTGGTCTGAGTATAACATGTCCCCTGTGTTGGTTTGAGTATAGCATGTCCCTTATGTTGGTCTGAGTATAGCATGTCCCCTATGTTGGTCTGACTATAACATGTCCCCTATGTTGGTCTGAGTATAGCATGTCCCTTATGTTGGTCTGAGTATAACAGGTCCCCTATGTTGGTCTGAGAATAGCATGTCCCCTATGTTGGTCTGAGAATAGCATGTCCCCCTTTGTTGTTCTGAGTATAACATGTCCCCTATGTTGGTCTGAGTATAGCATATCCCCTATGTTGGTTTGAGTATAGCATGTCCTCTATGTTGGTCTGAGTATAGCATGTCCCCTGTGTTGGTCTGAGTATAGCATGTCTCCTATGTTGGTCTGAGTATAGCATGTCTCCTATGTTGGTCTGTGTATACCATGTGTCCTATGTTGGTCTGAGTATAGCATGTCCCCTATGTTGGTGTGAGTATAGCATGTCCCCTATGTTGGTCTGAGTACAGCATGTCTCCTATGTTGGTCTGAATACAGCATGTCCCCTATCTTGGTCTGAGTATAGCATGTCCTCTATGTTGGTCTGAGTATAGCATGTCCCCTATGTTGGTCTGAGAATAGCATGTCCCCCTATGTTGGTCTGAGTATAGCATGTCCCCTATGTTGGTCTGAGTATAGCATGTCCCCCTATGTTGGTCTGAGTAAAGCATGTCCCCTATGTTGGTCTGAGTACAGCATGTCCCCTATGTTGGTCTGAGTATAGCATGTCCCCTATGTTGGTCTGAGTATAGCATGTCCCCTATGTTGGTCTGAGTATAGCATGTCCCCTATGTTGGTCTGAGTATAGCATGTCTCCTATGTTGGTCTGAATACAGCATGTCCCCTATGTTGGTCTGAGTATAGCATGTCCTCTATGTTGGTCTGAGTATAGCATGTCCCCTATGTTGGTCTGAGAATAGCATGTCCCCCTATGTTGGTCTGAGTATAGCATGTCCCCTATGTTTGTCTGAGTATAGCATGTCCCCTATGTTTGTCTGAGTATAGCATGTCCCCCTATGTTGATCTGAGTATAGCATATCCCCTATGTTTGTCTGAGTATAGCATGTCCCCTATGTTTGTCTGAGTATAGCATGTCCCCCTATGTTGGTCTGAGTATAGCATGTCCCCTATGTTGGTCTGAGTATAGCATGTCCCTTATGTTGGTCAGAGTATAACAGGTCCCCTATGTTGGTCTGAATACAGCATGTCCCCTATGTTGGTCTGAGTATAGCATGTCCTCTATGTTGGTCTGAGTATAGCATGTCCCCTATGTTGGTCTGAGAATAGCATGTCCCCCTATGTTGGTCTGAGTATACCATGTCCCCTATGTTTGTCTGAGTATAGCATGTCCCCTATGTTGGTCTGAGTATAACATGTCCCCTATGTTGGTCTGAGTATAGCATGTCCCCTATGTTGGTCTGAGTATAGCATGTCCCCTATGTTTGTCTGAGTATAGCATGTCTCCTATGTTGGTCTGAGTATAGCATGTCCCCTATGTTGGTCTGAGTATACCATGTCCCCTATGTTTGTCTGAGTATAGCATGTCTCCTATGTTGGTCTGAGTATAGCATGTCCCCTATGTTGGTCTGAGTATAGCATGTCCCCTATGTTGGTCTGAGTATAGCATGTCTCCTATGTTGGTCTGAGTACAGCATGTCCCCTATGTTGGTCTGAGTATAGCATGTCCCCTATGTTGGTTTGAGTATAGGTATAGGTATTGGGTGTCACATGTATCATGTGTGTATCGTCTGTGCAATGCGTGACTTGCATTCAGTTTTACCTGTGATCCATGTCTTTCCAGTCTGAGGACAGCATTTGCAACAGCCATTACTTCTGTCACTATGGTAACAGTAACGTAACTGAAAAGTGTAATAGCATCATTACTTAAATGCACACTTGTATGCTAAAAGGAAAAAAACAAAAGTATTGATGTGCACAAGGTGTTTAAAAGGAGTTAGTATTGGAGTGGTTGGTTGAGTGGTTGGTTGTGTGGTTGGTGAGTGGTTGGTTGAGTGGTTGGTTGTGTGGTTGATGAGTGGTTGGTTGTGTGGTTGATTGTGTGGTTGGTTGTATTGTTGGTGGAGTGGTTGGTTGAGTGGTTGGTTGTGTGGTTGTTTGAGTGGTTTGTTGAGTGGTTTGTTGTGTGGTTGGTTGAGTGGTTGGTTGAGTGGTGGCTTGTGTGGTTGGTTGAGTGTTTGGTTTTGTGTTTGGTTTTGTGGTTGGTTGAGTGGTTTGTTGAGTGGTTTGTTGAGTGGTTGGTTGAGTGGTTTGTTTTGTGGTTGGTTGAGTGGTTTGTTGAGTGGTTTGTTGAGTGGTTGGTTGAGTGGTTTGTTGAGTGGTTGCTTGTGTGGTTGGTTGAGTGGTTTGTTTTGTGGTTGATTGAGTGGTTTGTTTTGTGGTTGGTTGAGTAGTTGCTAGTGTGGTTTGTTGAGTGGTTGCTGGTGTGGTTGGTTGAGTGGTTTGTTGAGCGGTTGCTTGTGTGGCTTGTTGTGTAGTTGATTGTGTGGTTGGTTGAGTGGTTTGTTGAGTGGTTTCTTGTGTGGTTGGTTGAGTGGTTTGTTGAGTGGTTTGTTTAGTGGTTGCTGGTGTGGTTTGTTGTGTGGTTTGTTGAGTGGTTGCTTGTGTGGCTTGTTGTGTAGTTGATTGTGTGGTTGGTTGAGTGGTTTGTTGAGTGGTTTGTTGAGTGGTTGCTTGTGTGGTTGGTTGAGTGGTTTGTTGAGTGGTTGCTTGTGTGGTTTGTTGTGTGGTTGCTTGTGTGGTTTGTTGTGTGGTTGCTTGTGTGGTTTGTTGAGTGGTTTGTTGAGTGGTTTGTTAAGTTGTTGGTTGAGTGGTTTGTTGAGTGGTTTGTTGAGTGGTTTGTTAAGTTGTTGGTTGAGTGGTTTGTTGTGTCGTTGATTGAGTGTTTTTGTGTGTGGTTGCTTGTGTGGTTTGTTGTGTGGTTGCTTGTGTGGTTGGTTGAGTGGTTGCTAGTGTCGTTTGTTAAGTGGTTGCCAGTGTGGTTGGTTGAGTGGTTGGTTGAGCGATTGCTGGTGTGGTTTGTTTTGTGGTTGCTTGAGTGGTTTGTTGAGTGGATTGTTGAGTGGTTTGTTGAGTGGTTTGTTGAGAGGTTGCTTGAGTGGTTTGTTGAGTTGTTGCTTGTGTGGTTTGTTGAGTGGTTTGTTGAGTGGTTTGTTGAGAGGTTGGTTGAGTGGTTTGTTGAGTGGTTTGTTGTGTGGTTTGTTGAGTGGTTTGTTGTGTGGTTGCTTGTGTGGTTTGTTGAGTGGTTTGTTGAGAGGTTGCTTGAGTGGTTTGTTGAGTTGTTGCTTGTGTGGTTTGTTGAGTGGTTTGTTGAGTGGTTTGTTGAGTTGTTGCTTGTGTGGTTTGTTGAGTGGTTTGTTGAGTGGTTTGTTGTGTGGTTGGTTGAGTGGTTTGTTGAGTGGTTGGTTGTGTGGTTGGTTGAGTGGTTTGTTGAGAGGTTGGTTGAGTGGTTGCTTGTGTGGTGTGTTGAGTGGTTTGTTGAGTGGTTGGTTGAGTGGTTGGTTGTGTGGTTGGTTGAGGGGTTTGTTGAGAGGTTGGTTGAGTGGTTGCTTGTGTGGTTCGTTGAGTGGTTTGTTGAGTGATTTGTTGAGTGATTTGTTGAGAGGTTGGTTGAGTGGTTTGTTGAGTGGTTTGTTGTGTGGTTTGTTGAGTGGTTTGTTGTGTGGTTGCTTGTGTGGTTTGTTGAGTGGTTTGTTGAGTGGTTTGTTGAGAGGTTGCTTGAGTGGTTTGTTGAGTTGTTGCTTGTGTGGTTTGTTGAGTGGTTTGTTGAGTGGTTTGTTGAGTTGTTGCTTGTGTGGTTTGTTGAGTGGTTTGTTGAGTGGTTTGTTGTGTGGTTGGTTGAGTGGTTTGTTGAGTGGTTGGTTGTGTGGTTGGTTGAGTGGTTTGTTGAGAGGTTGGTTGAGTGGTTGCTTGTGTGGTGTGTTGAGTGGTTTGTTGAGTGGTTGGTTGAGTGGTTGGTTGTGTGGTTGGTTGAGGGGTTTGTTGAGAGGTTGGTTGAGTGGTTGCTTGTGTGGTTCGTTGAGTGGTTTGTTGAGTGATTTGTTGAGTGATTTGTTGAGAGGTTGGTTGAGTGGTTGCTTGTGTGGTTGGTTGAGTGGTTTGTTGAGAGGTTGGTTGAGTGGTTGCTTGTGTGGTTTGTTGAGTGATTTGTTGATTGATTTGTTGAGAGGTTGGTTGAGTGGTTGCTTGTGTGGTTGGTTGAGTGGTTTGTTGAGAGGTTGGTTGAGTGGTTGCTTGTGTGGTTGGTTGAGTGGTTTGTTGAGAGGTTTGTTGAGTGGTTGCTTGTGTGGTTTGTTGAGTGGTTTGTTGAGTGATTTGTTGTGTGGTTGCTTGTGTGGTTGGTTTAGTGGTTTGTTGAGTGGTTGGTTGTGTGGTTGGTTTAGTGGTTTGTTGAGTGGTTGCTTGTGTGGTTTGAGTGAAGGAGTGTTAAGTGGTTGGTGGAAATAATTGAAATTTCTTTAGGTATTTGCAATAAGGAAAGTGTATAAAAAAGCTGTCTTGAGGATCATGTATTTCAATAATAGATGGTTTCACTTTGGCTCTCCTCTCATATTGGAAATCTGTACAGAGCTCGAGATAAGCTGCGTATTTGGATAAAATATGCAATAAATACACTGAAATACGCAGACAAATCAAATCCTAGCATATCAAATACGCGACAAAAACTATAACTACACAATTGAAATAAAATTATTGCATATATTATAACTATTATATAATTTGATTGTGTATCAGCCGATCATCAAATTCACTTAGGAACAGTTACATTTGGAAAAGCTTCTGCAACAAACATACTGATAGACGCCACATGGAAAAGCACATCGTGCCTAGTTAATGTACATGTATCTCAATTAGTCGCTGACTGGTGATTAAAACCTTAGTGCCTTTCTTACAATGCTAGGTTTTGTAAACAAAAAATGGCAGACGGTTTTGAATGATTTACAGGGAGTGTTACGAAATAGGTTTTAAGTTAATGTCAAGAAACAGGTGGCTAATAAAAACATAATACCCTCTAAAACTTGTGGATACCCAATCAAAATCAAACCTCTGGGTAAAATACCCAAATAACCAAAAGCTTATCTATAGCTCTGCTTTATTTGTTTAGCCCGAGAACAACTTATATTATGTACAAATCTATGGTGATATGCCAAGTTCAATATTCAACTCCTACCTATCCCCATCCTCTCAGAAATGACCTACTTTACTGACAGTATTGTAATTCAATGAAATCAATTTTTATTTGTGCTTGAGGCCTCAGGCCCATATACAAAGTATACAAAAATACAAAATATCAAAATATACATCAAGGGTAATAGGTTTATCATATGTATGTGTGTGTGTGTGTGTCACATATATATATCATATACTGTAACTCTTGAAAATCACCTGCGTGAAACCGGTTGAGTAAATTATACAGCTCATCTTTGCACTTTTGTATTTTATCTATATTTTGTATTATATATATACACATGAGCAGAAAGGTAATTATGCACATAACTTGACATGCCTACAGTCAGTAGCCAATCAACGGAGAGACGAATCAAAACAATGTTCATAGGACCTCTGAATCAAGGCAAGAGGCGAGAAGAACTGCAACAAACCGGAAGAAATATGTCCGAGAGAAGGCAGCTTTTTCAAATGACATGGTCAGTTACCACCAGTTTCAAACATTAGTTCCCTGAAAACGGGAAAGCACAGTTTTCTTTATCATCAAACAACCAAAGCAGATGACAATAAAACCATTCGCCCAAATACATCACGGCAACGACCATGGTAACTCGATGCACGTGAGTTCCGTGCAAATTGAAATGCACATGCGTTTCCCCATTTCTTGCCCTATAAAAATCCACCCAGATCGGGTAACATTCATTTGTTAATAATTAAATTTTAGTTGTGTTAATTGAAATTCCTGCATTCTGATTAGCTGAATTGGTCACGTGTTATTGCATTCATTTTCCAATGAATGTAAAAATTAAGCCAGCCCACCGAGGCGCACTACTTATATTACTGTGGAATGTCGGGGAATCCCAATATAACAGTCGAGGGAATTACCCTTCTGCTAATGTGTATCGTCATGCACAGGACATTCATGTATATTCATTGTCCAAACTACCCTTTGAAACCGAAGGCCGAGAAGGAATAAAACAGCAAAGGTACCTGAAGGCTTGCTCGCCTCTTTTTTCCCCGCTCACCCCGGTTCCACAACTTTCATGTCTTCAAGTTTGATTTCTAACTAGCATTTTTCCAACTGTGCTTTCCCGTTTTCAGGGAACTTATGTTTGAATCTCGCCGTAACTGACCATGTCATTTGAAAAAGCCGCCTCCCCCCCGGACATATTTCTTCCGGTTCATTACAGTCTGACTGTTGCAGTTCTTCTCGCCTCTTCCCTTGATTCACAGGTCCAATGAGCATTGTTTTGATCCTACTCTCTGTTGATTGGCTACTGACTGTGTAGGCGTGTCAAGTTATGTGCATAAAATAAACGATCACCTAATTCATGTCACGCCACAGTATGTATTCATACACCTGGAATGTTTATTTTTGTCTGTTTTGATTTATCCAACTGTGGTTAAATTGGTTAAACTGTTGTAGATAAAACATGTTTTACATTGTTGAATTTCATTATAAGCATTGACTGTGTATTTGTTTCGGTTCATTGAGGGATGAATCAAAACACCTTTGTGCAAACTTTTGTAAGAATCCGCTATGCGGATTCATACAATTTACACATCGTTTTTTTTATTCATCCCTCAATGAACCGAAAAAAATACACAGTCAATCCTTAATTGAATTGCTACCACATGCCAAGATTGACAAGAAATCAGTGACACCAAGCCCTTG